TCAAACACATAGAAGGCAGTGCTAACAGTAGCCTGTGATTCCTGGGTTGTTTTGATCAGAAGATACTAGCTTTAATTAGTGCTATGTTAGTCTGTGAAGTGGATGAGTGTTATAGACATATAGATCAGATAGTTCCCTAGACTTTTTGTTGTAATCCAAGCCTGACCAAAATTCTTCTGATTACAGATCTAATTTCAGTGCTTTTATCACTCTGTGTCTTCTGTGGTCCCCTTCTCTCATTGCCTGTATGTTGGAGGATATTTTACTGCCATCCGTCTGTAATCAACAGCAATATGAAACCTTTAACAAATATTAAAGTGTGTCTAGTTCATTTCAGGTCATAAACTGTTGGGGTTTTTTGTGGTGTTCTGTCTTTGTTCCCCTACGCCACCCTTTCCTGCAGCAGGAGGAGCACAGAGAGAGGGTTCAGCTCTTTGGTTTTTTTCCAGTTAGAGCAATGCTGTTTCTGCACTGTGAGTATCATGGTTATGATGAAAGGCAGCTTTAGAAGAGGCAGGCTTTAGGAGGGTGTCCAAAGGATGATCAAATTCAGAAATGTGTTTCCAGTCCAAACTTCTCAACAGAAAATATGTCCCCCGTTCTCATGGGCTTTTCCGTGCCTGCATGGGTGGTGTGAGAACCCCAGGTTATGAGGAGAGAAGTCATCCCGAGCACAGGAAACTTCACCACAACGTACCCAGCACATTTCTTGTGAAGAGGGTAGAGGTTAGTTCAGAATAACAACCATTTGAAAACTGTTTCAGTTTCTGTTGGTAAAACAACGGAGGAGGCTGAGAGGGTTGGACTTCAAACTGCTCTCTAGCAAGAGTCATCGTTTTCCATGGTATTATGTTGTGCTCAACTTGATAAACGCTCTTCTGCAAAGTGAGTTGGCAAATGTGTGTGTTCCAAATGTTCATTTCCACCTCTGTGTGTGCATATTTTTGTGCTCATAGGAGGAGTATGGAAGAAATAGAAGTTTTGTAATCAAGTGAAATTAAACAACGTCTTGTTAAGGAGAATGTTAATTGTATTTCAGTTATGAATATAGACAAATAGTCTTAATTTGCACAAAGAACTAAGTGGCCTAAATTGCCATTTTCTATTAAAAGTACTCAAATACATTAAAGAGATAAAATTAGGTTTTTAGATTAATTGAGTTTGCTGAAGTTCATGGGGAGGAGGATCAAGAAGAAAGTTTGTGACTTACAGATTTGTCTGTAAGTGGGAGAGGGTGGAGAGGAAAGCAAAGAGAAAGAAAACTACATTCTGCTGCTGAAATGGCCTTTTATCTAAATATCACTGAAAGGTTGCATTTCGGGATTTCCACGCTGCACAAATATATTCATTGTATCTTGCGGTAGTTTATTTCATTTTCTTGTAGAAGTCTCTTCCCTGTTCTTGCTGAGGTCACTCACTTGCTCCAAATCCTGAGGAGGGCTTCAGAGAGCTACAAGAAGACTCTTCAGGGCAAACATATTTTTTTTTTCTTTGGTAATCAGGATGCTGGTCAGTGGGAGAAGGGGACACTGAACCAGCTTGTGAGGGCAACCTAGACTTAAGGGGCAGACTGACAGGGGGAAATACAGCCTCTCTGTGGAGCTGATGGACTAGAACCTGCCAAGTATGGTTTTGGTGGGGAAGTAATTCAGTGGGAGGCAAAGTTCCATATTGGATGCTGGCACCACTTGCTTTCTTTTGCCTTCCCAAGAAGTATAGTAAGCGGCATGTCATAGATCATGGGGAAGGTAAAGGGGAGTGGAACTCTGTTGTCAGCCAGTGGATCTGCAGTAGATGTAGTCTTTGTTTCCAACCCCACGAGTTTGGCCAGAAGGAAGAATCTGACTCAAGGTATCAAGTTTATGGCTCCAAGTTTTCCTGTTGTTGTGGTCTGTGTGAGATTCAGGACATTTGTTCAATGAGATAGAGCACGATGTGTTTGTGAGACTGTAAAAAAAAAAAACAAACAAAAACCAAAACCAAAACAAACCAAAAACCTCTTAATTTATGTTAGTCTTAGCAGGTTTTTGCTGGGAGCTGTGGTCCTTTGGGCTGATTTTCAGCTCTTGAGCTGCCTCTGCAGCCATGACTGATAGGGCTGATCCGGACCCTCACATCCCACCCTGGAGGGTGGTCAGTAAAGTTCTTTGCACCTTCTTTGGAACAACTATTGGAGATGGCATACTGGGATCGCTGGAAGATTGATCTTGAGCCAGTATGGCAAATTTTTTTCACTATCAACATTTTCTATGATTGGAGATTAAAAAAAAATAAATCTTTATGCTAGTTATATTAGAAATGGTGTTCTTACATGGAAGGCAGCATAGTCATAACTTAGCATAGTCTGGCATTTCATCCTTTCCATTATTTTGTGCATAATGATACAGTTAATAGGCTGTTAGCTGGAAACCTGACAATGTTACAGATCCAAAATACTGTTGCAGGCAGCATTCGTTTCCACTTTTTTGTGTATTGCTAAAACATTTTCAACCAGATAAACTTTTACTAAGATGTTATCTGAAGAATGCAGCTGGCTGAAGGAGCCCTCTGGATGTTTCAAAATGGGTTGTTCAGGAACAGGAACCCTAATTTGCAGGGTTCGGAGGGTGGACCTTACAGTCCAGAGAGTGGTAAAACCAATTGCAGTTCAGTAAGCACCCCACAACTACTTCTTTACTCCCTCTTGGAGATGATGGTAAACTTTTGCTAGGATTGCATCCTCATTTTTTTGAAGCATTAAAGAAGCTGTCCCACTCTCTGTCTCTATTATTCTTTTCATGTAGATGTATTAGTAACAGTTAGCTTTCCACTACTGTTGTATTTTGTGCTTTGGCATGCCTCTTTAGCTGATCAAATGCTGTAAACCCAGACCACTATGGCTATAGAAAAGTACAGTCTTAAAGTAGATTTCGATTTAGTCTATAATTGGAGTAGCCTCTTTCTCCTGCTTATTGGTGTGTGAATTGGAAAAAACGTGTTTCTTACATTTGTGTAGTGAGTGTCAAAAAAGTAGGTGTTATGATGAAAGAAGGTTTGATCTCACCTGACACATTTTTCTCAAGAGGTAGTTTGGTAGGAGATTTTTTTTTTTCAAGAAGGAAACAGACCAAGCACTTTGCCAAAACAATTGTAGAGATAAGGAGAATATTAACTTGTGCAGGCTAATCATCAAAGGATGATTTTGGGGCCCACGAATGATCATTGCTTTTACTTTAGGTCTTGCAAGCAGTCAGAATGAAACCAAATCTTTGCAAATTTCAAGCCCACACACAGCATGTGGAGCCGTGCAGCTGAGTGGAGTGGCACGTGCTTCAGCCAGGACTGAAGGCAGCAGGCTGGAAGTGGCATCTGATTACATCTTTTCTTCTGGTCATGTGCTTTTTTGCTAATAGAACACCAGATAAATATTAACAGAAGGGAGGCTTGTTCAGAAGTCTTTTCTGCACAATTGAAATGAGTGTTACTGGTATTGGGGGTCAACAACAGCTTTTCACACTTTTGAAGCCACAGTTGAAAACTGGGCTTGTAGCAAAACTTTATGAGGTGCAAAGCTGCACACATCGTCAGCATCCACTGTCTGCAGTGGCTGCATCTAATAGTGTCTGCATCTAATACTGTCTGCAGTAGTAGTAAGGGCAAAGCCAAAGGCTGTGTGTAGGTGTGTCATGCTGTCTTCGGGATGGGGTTTGCCTGGAGATGAATTACATCAGCCTTTGGGATTGCTGGCTCCAGGAGTGGTACCAGACTTCTGTACTGTCTATCTGGTGTGTTAATACTACCTTTAATTTGGTAGGAATCATACCTCCATTGACTTCAATCAAAAACATGATCATAAAGTTGTAACGGTTGAAACAATTGTAATTCAAGAGAGGGATCAGAACACCTGTTGCTTGGGTCTGTCAGGCTGTGCAGTGAAGGGAGGGAAGTCATCCCTGCTTGAGCTCACACAGCTGTGTGAGGGATCCCACTGCAGCATCATGCCTAACCTAGTCATCTGAATTCTTTCTATAATGAGAGAGAGAGAGAGGTGTCTTCATGGGGTGATTTATCCCAACTACCTTGGAAAATGGTGACATTCTCTGGAAGTGCCTGTGTCACACCATTGACTACATAGAGAACCAGGGCAGTGAGTTGAGATCAGATGCCTGCTTCCTATGCAGTTTAGGGGAGATAAAACCCGTTCTGTAAGTGGTAAGAGCTCATACCGATGTTCTTAAGCAGTCTTGGGTGATTGGTAGGGCCGGAGATAAAATTGAAAAGCTCAGACTGGATTTCTCCATCTCTTTTATTGTAGTATGACATACATGGGAGATCTTAAAAGTCATATCCTATTAGTGCAAATATACTTGAATGAGATGGTACCACTAGCAAATGCAAACCTTCAGTTATCGCAGAAGATTTTAAAATAATTCACTTTTCTTGTCTGCTTATTGCTAGCTGTTCTTAGAAGCCCACCTTGTGTAGTAACTTCTCCCCATGGAGAAAGAGCCCTATGTCCTGATCTTTCAAACAGCTGTGTTTTGACACAGGGTCTTTTCTCCTTACAGTAGCAGTTATAACTCTTCCAAACAGAAAAGTTTTGAAAGTTTAACTACAGAAAAGCAAGCAAAGTAACAAATGCTGTCTCGTACTCAACATATCATTTGCATGCCTTTTTCTTAATAGTACCAAACCTTTCAGCAAACGTGTCAAAGTGTGTTTCCTACAGCCATGCTACTCCATCACCAAATGCTGACCTGAAGTCAGTCCTTTTCAGCATAAGGTTATTTCTTTGTGCTCTCACTCTGATTGGCTCTTGCTATGACTAGTGCTGGGTGAGGTCCAGCAGAGGGTCATACTCTTTTCCTGTTTCGAGTAAACTTTACAGTGAGAGCTAGAAATTGGAAGTTAAGTTTGCAGTTAATCTGAGAATGGTACTTGTCCACTGGTTGTGTTTTATGCTGTTAAAAAGATTATTTATGCTGATTATTTTGTTAATTTTTTAGATGTAGTCTTAACTGATGTTATGACGTGCAAAATCCCCCCACACATGAGGAAAAGAGCCTTCTGTAAGTATGATCAGTGTAAGTAAATTAAAAATATAACATTAGGTGAGAAATCAATATTGCAATTTAACTGAATAGTTGAGAATTTAGCCTTGGAAAATTATTGCGTTCAGTAATATTTAAATAGAAATAGTTTTGAAACAAAGAAAATACCTGACCCTATTTTAACTTCTCAAGGATTGACCCTTTTCTAAGGATGTCAGCAACTACAGAGAATTTAGCTGAAAAACAACTGGACTCTTTAACCTAACTGTACCTAAATAGAATCATAGAATCACAGAATGTTTTGGGTTGGAAAGGATCTTAAAGATCGTCAAGTTCCAACCCCCCTGCCATGGGCAGGGACACCCTCCACTAGACCAGGTTGCTCAAAGCCTCATCCAGCCTGGCCTTGAACACCTCCAGGGATGGGGCATCCACAGCTTCCCTGGGCAACCTGTTCCAGTGCCTCACCACCCTCATAGTGAAAAATTTCTTCCTAACGTCTAGTCTAAATTTACCCTCTTTCAGCTTATACCCATTACCCCTTGTCCTATCATGAACATGTTAATTATTCTCTAACAAGGTTTTTGTAGGATTTGGGGAAAGGGGCTATGGCATCCTGCCTAAATCTCTTCAAGCATGTTTTGTAGGTGCTCTGTTTCATTAGGCAGTTAGGTTTAATGGACTTACAAACCATTAAATGTCACATTACATAAAGAACAAACCAAGGAAAACCTATTGCTGAAAGAAGGGGAAAAAGTTCATAGAATGGAAAGACCTGGAAAATGGCAAAGAATTTTGATGTAACTTTTTTTTGACCAAATCTTAGGACATTCAGTACTATTTGAGAAAGATTGGTGGTTCGCTAGCCACTTAGCTACTTGTAGAAAACCAGCTGGACACAGTCCTGAGCAACTTGCTCTAGGTGGCCCTGCTTTTGAGCAGGGGGGTTGGATTGGATGAACTCCAGAGATCCCTTCCAACCTCAACTATTCTTTGATTCTGTATGAATTGGAAAACTGCCTGCTTTAATTTTTGTCTGTCATAAATTATATCTGTAAGCAGAGTGTTGTTTTGTATGCTGTCATTGAATTTCAAAGCTTTTGGGGATAGGATATTCAGAGCTCTCAATTTCTGCTTCCTCCACTCAAGAATTTACTTTTTTTCTATTTGGAATTGGTTTATGACCTGTTGTATAAACCTGAGTTGAATTACTGAGGCAAATTATTAGTTCTGAGTAGCAATAGACTGGCCCATCTGGTAAGCATGGCCGAAATTCCTTCCACCCTAGAATGAGCTCCCCATTTAAAATCTCATTCCTAAGCTCATGTAGATGGCCAGGGTTGTGTTCAATTCAGTTGTCTTAGATGCTTAACTTGTATCTGAATTTTAGATGTCCAGTGAACCAGTGATAGTTAAGAAGATGCTTGAGTTCCCTGTGGAGAGAGGGAGATTCTATTGAAATCCTCAAGAGGAAGATGCTGAGTGGTTAAATTTAGACAGTTTTAAAATGCCTATTTAAAAATACAAGTAAAAGCTATATGTTTTATTTAATTACAGTGCATCTTTCCCGTTGTTAGGTCCCTCAGCCTAAGAGGAGTTACTCACTATATAACTGCCTTTCAGGTTCATCAGATTTTGCTCCTAATCTCACTTCCTAAATGAATGATGTTTGTCATAATAGTATGAAATTAATATAAAGTTCCGTAACTGCAGTGCTAACATGGCTGACAGAAGGAACATTCAAATTTATCAGCCAAATCAAAAGCACCACATTTATCGACGTAACCAGATTTCCTATAGGCTGTGTGCTTCTTTCCTAGCATAACGTTTCACTGTATAGGCATTGTGAGGGGAAGAACAATGGTCACAGATGCCTGTAGAACAGTAAAATTGTAGGGTGAAGGAAAAGCACAGATGCTGCCATGTGCCACATCAGCAGGCATCCCCTTTTGCTTTTTCTTTCCATCACCATCCCAGAATTTCAGCCTCACTCTGGCCCAATAGGTTTTATTTACAGTTTTCAGTATCCCTTTCTCCTGGCAGTAGAGCCTGGAATGACACAGTGTGCTGACACCAACAGCATTTCCTGCCCTTTTGTTTTGTGTTCTGACGACCCATTATCCCTTTGTCTTTATCCTTTGTCCTACCTGTGGAGACAGAGGCCCCATCTGACAAATTTACTTGTGCTCCCCAGGGATTATGAAAACGAGGAAACTTCATTAAGGAGGGTTTAATAACTTAGACAAAGGAGAAGAGCAGAAGGTCTTTTAACAAGTCTCTCTCAACCCCCATTCTCTGATGGAAGAGCCTTTCTTCCTGTGGTACAGTCTTCTCCAACAATTTGCAGTAAAATGCTACAGATGTATGATTCATGCAAATTGAGTTACTGTAGGTTGGATCTGCCTTGAGGATTTTATTTGAATGACCTGAGGCAATATTATGGCAGTAGGTTTGCTGCTGTTAAAAAGAGCAGTAGCTGATAGTGGACTAAAATTTTGGTGTATGTTTGTGCTCTATTGCTTAGCATGGTAATGTTAGAGGAGTAACAATTGGAGACAACCTGCTGCGCTCTGCTACTCTGTAAGACAAACATCAGTAAAGCCAAGCAGCAAGAAAAGAAGGGCTCTTCATGACAAAATGACAGCAAGAGAACACAGTCCCCGCCATGGTGCAAAATCCCGCACTGTGCAAAGGGCCTCCACCATTGATGTCACCTCTGACATGCTAGGCCTTTCTCTAGCAGGTATGTACCCTCATGTCAGCTATTCCTCCGTCACTCCTTTCAGGATCTACCTTGTACTAATATTGGGGTTTGTTTTAATTGCTAGAAGATTTAGATGTGTCTGGTTATCTGGGGGGAATGAGATAAAAGAATACTAAATAGAATACTAAAAAATTAAAATAATCTTGAACTTACCATTTTCAAAATAGACAAAACATTAAAATTGGAGAGGGGACAGAAAAAAGAAATTAAACTAGATTTAGTGCAGTTGTATCTATCAGTCAAAAATAAGCAATAGGGGGGGAGAAAACAACAGAAGAATGTCAAGGTCTAGGAAGGGTCTTGGCAACCTCCTTGTTTGACATTGTATAAAATTTTCAAGAGAGTTCTGGGACCTCAGAATTATCTCCCTCATCTTTTATGGTGAGTAAATTAGGATTGTAACCTCCAGAGGCTTTCTTTGATTAGTGAGAGACAGGTATTTTCAAACTTCTCCCTACTTACTGATCACAGATGAGACATATCTGCTTTAATAATTTGGAGTTAATGGTGGCTCAGACACTAAATGACTTTAATCCTGTTGTTTCCTACTGAGACTGGGCATTTCATATTCCCGTGTTCCATATATAATCTTGCATAGTTGTACATATTTTAACATGTTTTGTAAAATGAGATCATCTCAGGTTTTTCAAATAATTTCTAGATACCAAAGATGAGCTAATAAATATTTTAAGTACCAGTCATGGCTCATTGAATTAAAAATATATTTTTTTCCATTAAATTTAATTTCTTTTGGTGTATTTCTTTCCTGCAACTTCAGGAAGGGATTCACGTGACAACAATGTTTGGCTAATCTTGTGCTCATTTTTCTGATTTACAGGAAACATTCAGGATCCAGATGAGCCGATTTTAGAGTTCAGTTTAGGTAGGCTTAGTTATTTTTATGCTAATTTTGTTGATACATGCTATTGAGTATGTGTGCAGGTTTTTAATTGTTGATTTTGAAGTGCCTTTCACATAGTAAAGATTGAAACTTTGCTTTGATTTTTATGGAGATGTGGTACAGTTTTCTTGCTGCCTGTATAGTGTCTTTTGCTAAGCAGACAGCAGTTTGATTATGAGATGTTTTTACAAGTCTGTAATTAAAACATCTGTCCTATAAAATTTTAAGTGTTCACTAGGTGAATGTTATTTTAAAATGTTTATTTTGTTTATGTGAAGATACAGTGAAATTGACTTGAGTCTTAGTGTATCAGCACTTCAGGTCTTCAAGCAAACTGAAAATTTGCTGGAAACACCATTTTATGACAGAATATTTTCTGAGAGTTACCAACTATTAGACATACCTTCTTTCCTGTGATCTTTGCTGTCAAGTGATAATGTGACATGGAAATAACCAAATTTATGGGATGGTTAAATTTGGACAAGAAGCTTGTGACCTCACTTGAATAATAAGTGAAAAATATTTTCTTAATGAAAATTCAGTCCACATTTTCAACTGCAGCATGGTTTTCTTGGCTTAATAGTGGACTAATGTTTGGAAGGTTGTGCTCTTAACAGTATGTTTGAAATGAAAAATTAGAAAATTTTTTCTGATGCATGCAATTGTGTTATGAATAATGATCTTAAGAACTCCTCAGAGCTGAATAAGGTACTTTAACTATTTTCAGATAAATTAAAAACATCTAGAACTACAAATCTGTTTAGTGTACATTAGTGAACATTTTGCTTGCCCAGGTAAATTTCAGAATTAACTTTCTGCATCTAGCTGAAGCAGAGTCTGACTGTACTGTAGTTACCTGTACCTAGCTAGATAGAATTTGGCTCTGAAATTTAATCTAATTGTGTAGGGTCACTCACTGAAATTCTTGGTAGTTGTTTCCTACTCACCATAGTCGCTTCCCAGCAGTTAAACTCGCAATAACACTTTAGAGGAAATAAATTCTTGTCCTTTTTACAGTTGCAAGCTAGTTCTCCTCATAGTAATGCTGCTTGATCAACATTCGAGCACTTCTATTGGTTCTCCAATGCAAAATGCTGTTTGGTAATGGGCTTAATGGAGCATGACTTCAAATCAAATGCAGCCATGCTCATGAGTTTCCCAGAGGAAAACCTGTGCATGTGCACTGTTCTAATGAGCTGTGCTGGGGGGTGGATAGGCAGGTGTTAGAAGAGTTTAAATTACAGCTCTGCAGCTTGGAGCCAGACTGATCTGATTGCATGTTTACTGTTTGCATGCACAAAGGTGAGTGATGTCTGCCTTTATAGTGTGATGGTAGAATGACTGTTAGGCCCTTCATGGCTTGATTGCTCAGGGTATATAATATGCTTTTATAAAAATGTAGAGTCTTAGAGCAATATGAAAAAGATCCTGAGTCTAAATTTATTTATCTTTTGCACACCTAAAGCTTGCAGTGAGCTGCTAACTCCATCGCTAGATCGAAAACCAAATAGTTTTGTAGCAGTGAGTGTAACTACACCTCCTCAGGCATTCTGGACAAAGCATGCACAGACAGAAATTATTGAGGTAAGTGGTGAGGTACTCCTGGATTGGATTTAAAATTGAAGCTAAGACAAGAAGCATTTCTTCCTAACAAATATCACCTTGCATTAATTTTTGCCTTTTTTTGTTTATGATTACAGGGAACAAGTAATCCTATCTTTCTAAGCAGCATTGCCTTTTTCCAAGATTCTCTTATCAATCAAATGACACAAATCAAACTCTCTGTGTACGACGTCAAAGATAGATCTCAGGGAACAGTAAGTTTTATTTCTTTTGTTGCCTTCCCATTCAGCGTGCAGCAAGGAAACAAGAGGCAAGGAGATAAAAGTAGCAACTTTAGTGGAAGAAGGCAAAGGGGTAGCAGCATCTATCCTAGAGAAAACAACATGGGTAGGGGAAGGAGGGACACATGCTGTGAGACGGACTTAGCAGAGTGGAGAGCATTGCCAGTTTTCTCAAATAAGGCTTGTTGGCAGCAAGTTTGGGAACCACTGTTTTAACTCAAGAGGTTCTGTCACTTGTTCTCTTCTGTTGTGGACCTCTTTACTGACCTAGATAAAAAATGGGATCCCGTGCCCCTAACTGAGGCCTCTAACCTGTGCCAAAATGTTGGACCTTTAATGAAACAGTCCTTATAAACAGAGCTGCTAAATTCCATGTGTAGTAGGCACAGTCTGGTAGAAGTTTTCCACAGGGAGCAATCATGTCTGTCATTGTCATGAGCAACTTTGTGTCAAGTTTAGAAACTTCAGAAGTCTGTTTCAGGACCTTAGAAGTCTACATCTCTTACTGTGTAAAATTTTGATGCAAGCTGGTGACAAAATCAGGCAGGTTAGATTCTACCAGAGGCTGCTCGTGGCCTGTAATCTGTGTTGTGTAAAATGGAAGGAAGAGAAAACAAAAGTCCCCGTGGCCATGGGGGCTTGTGTAGTATTTTTGCAGAGGATCACAAATTGTAAGGTAGAACTTGCCACTAAACATTTTTAATCCAAAATAATGGAAAAATAATGAACTTCAGTGTCCAAAACTTAATGTAGAAAAAAATGGGCCCACAGTACAGACACCTTTTTGTCAGCTGGGAACATGAGTTCGGACTCAAAGTGAAAAACGTCAGAGGAAACTTAACTGTTTTTGAGTGCTTTCTAATTCATTGTGAAAAATGTTATTTGTTGTCTCAAAGACACTTATTACTACCAGTACCTAGAATTCCAAAATACCAAAAATTTGTGAGTGTCTTTACAAAACAGGAAATTGTTTCTGAATAGAAGGTTGCTTTCAAGAGAGCATCCACGCACCTGGCTTCCTGACACACAGATTCTTTGGGCTATTTTGTCCAGACAGGTTTTTTGGGGGTTTTTTTTTGCATTTCTCTCTGAAATCCCACTGCCCTGGTCCCTTAGTGATTTTGTTCAGGTGTACAATTTATTCCCTTACCAAAAAAAAAAAAAAAATCTAAGTGCCAGCTTTCCTAGGTGACTGCTTGGGTCTTTGGCAACTCACTTTGGACCATTGCGCAGAATGCTGTTTCAGGTCCCACATGCCTGCTTTCCTATGGCTTCCTCAGGGGTAGCAGGGTATCTCTGTAGAGTGCATCATGGGGAGGCTATGGGGAGGCTCTGGGGAAAAAGAATACCTCCTGAGGAGGTGCATTCTTCAGGAAGAGCCAAATTTAGGTCAGGGAGAGTCTGTGAAGTGTCAGCCTAGTCAGTCTGAATCCCATTCAGTCATTGCTTTCAGTGTTCCTGTACTGCTGGGCCTAAGCTTGCCTATATTGAGGTGCCTGCCCTCAAATCCTAGAGAAAGAAAAGGGCTTTTTGTCCTCTGGTAGAAAAAAGTTTTTTTTATAAACTACCAAATTTATTAAAATTTAAAGAGGTTTAATTTGTTATGCATGGGCATTTGTAATTATATTTTTGTTCTCAGACTTTTGTGCATAATAATTGTATTTTGAACTTTGGTTCTGTGGACAAAGTCTTTGTTCATTGTAAAGGTAAATAATTACAATTCCAGTACTCATCTTCTTCCAGATGTATTTGTTGGGTTCTGGGACGTTTGCGGTAAAAGAGCTTCTTCAGGAGAAGAATCACAGGTTGCACTTAACACTAAGGTTTGTAATGTTCTCCTCCATTTAGGAATTAACAGTTCTAATTCTTGAAAGCATGCTTAAGATGTCGTGAAAGCTGTCTGTGAGATGTGCTGAAAACATTTTGTTTGTTGGTTTGTTTATGTTTGTTTGTTTGTTTTTTTAAGTTCCAGGCCACTATTAAGGAAAAACTATTTTATATCACATGATAATTAAAACATGTAGAACAAGACTGTGGTGAATGTTAGAATGTTGGTTCTAGTTCTACAAGTCAAGAAAGAATTGTCAAGACCAATTTAATTTTTGTCCATTTCATCCTATTACCTCAGCGTATGTGTCTGTGGAGAGTAGCAAAATGGAGTATTCTTAACTGTGCTGATGTATAAGGAGCCTGTGATGGGGAGAATGAAACACATTGATATCAAGTGTATTCTGATTATCAGAGCAAAGTGTGTGAAGACATGCATGTCTTCTCATTGTCACATTATCCCTCAGATGTATAAGCTCGATGCTGAGCAATGTCTATAGACATGCTGCATGACTTGGATACTTAAACCTTTTACTGTAGTCGTCTTGTGTGGTTATTTCTTTTGCTTCCCTAATATTGTCTGTTCCAGAGACTTTTTTTTTTTTTTGTTTCAGTTGTCACAGCATATTTTTACACATAAACAACAATCTTAAAATACCATTTATAATCTCTCTTAAAAAGTATCATGAAGTCTCTGCCAAAATTACTGTGTGTCATGGGTGAGACAGAAAAAATGACAGCCATGGTAGATGTGGATACTGGTGTGTATTTAAAAACCTGCAAGATTAGTTTTTACCCTGCTTGGTTCTCTGACTCACTCACTCCCCCCTCAGTCATATGTTTATATGGTCTCAGCTTCTCTCTGCTGCAGGGAGATAGATGGCTGCTGGACTGGGAAGGTGGGACAGAAACTTGTGTCAGTTTGTGCAGTGCAGCTGCCCAGCTGTTAGTGACCTGTCTCAGACATTAGTGGCCAGGTCCCTGGGGATCTCTGGCATTTGCTTCCACGCAACTCCTTGATCTCCAGGATTTTCCTCTACCTCCAGGATCTTTCCTCCACTGAGAATCTTCACCACCTTCTTCCCTAGACCACTTCTTTTCAAGATCCTTCTTTTCAGCATCAGGTTTTCTTTCTGGAATGGCAGGCCCCTACTTTTCCCAATCTAAATAGTCTATCTGCAGAAGCACAAGATGGGATCAGCTTCCTGACTGGTGGCATTGACTGACTTCTCTTAAGTGGAAGATTTGGGATGTGCTCCTTCTGTTTAGTCCACATTATAAAAATTTACCAGTTGCAACTGTACCAGTTGCAGCTAGCAAGTAGCAGGCTTCTGACTGAGAGTCAGAAAGTTCAGTTTCAGACATTCACATGCACAGGGACACACATGTGTGCACGTACATCCAATTATCCGCTCCTTGTTAATGTTCACAGTTTAAACTGCTTTTGCCTACTACAGGTAAAATCTGCACTTTTTATGGTTTTATAAAAGTATTGAAACACATAAACGGTTTTAGGTTGCCTTTAATTAGGGGGTCTGTACAGCATCCATGCAGAATGAGGGGAGCACTTTCCTGTTGGAATAACACATTATAAAAACATGTAAAATGAAGCTGAGAAGCTTCCTATTTAAAATGATCGTTAAGTTTGAAGATTAATAGCCTTTTATAAGTGTTCCCTTGTTGATAAACAGGTCCACCTCCAAAAAAATCTCAAGGCAGAGTGTTTGTTGCAGGTCGGCTGAAAGTGACCGTGTAGGTAACATTACAGTTATTGGATGGCAAATGGAGGAAAAAACTGACCAAAGGCCTCCAGTGACAAGGTCACCTGACACAATTAATGGAAGGGTGAGTATGAGCATTGTATCAAATTCAGAAAAATGCAGATTTATTGCCAGCATTGAAACAAGCTAGGTTGACATCTGCTGGCAACTTTCCTGTCTTGATATCCATCTTGATATTTAGTAGTGCTTTACAATTTCAAAATACTGTAAAGAGCAGCCTAATGGTGATGAAGTGGGTTTGTATTTTGCAGAGCTCTTGGTGCTTATGTTTGGGGTTAAAAGTCTTGGGGGAAAATTTAGTTTACAGTGATTAAGCTTTAGCTTCAAGTGCTCATGCCCTTCATCAGAATAGGCTTGCAGTACTGCCTGTTGCTGCACTTGGTGCGTTGATAACCAGTTTCACAAGATATGGTATTCCAGTTAACATTGTGAATTGGAAAGTGGCGTTAATCAAAGTTGTAATGGGGTATCTCAGGGAATTTCCAGAATTTTCACAGGCAACTTAAAAGATTGTAATAAAACTGAACAGGTTACTTGAATACTGGATTTATTTTTTTTCTAATCCCCAAATACACGTCAAAAAACGCCTGAGAGTAGATGTTTACAGTACTTTCTCAGCCTAGACATATGTTTGATTCTGTAAACCTCGTGTTCTGCATATCCTGGTGATAGTTGTACTCACATCTGTGTATCACAGTCGCAGTGTGGATTAGTATCCACACTGGCTCACTTTGTATCAGCCAGACCTGTAGCTGCCACATATTGGTGCAGTGCCTTTAAGGACATTGGAGCTGCACTAACATAAAGTAGTTGAAGGGCTGGATGAAAATTTTTACAGCATTTTGAACTGTGCAGTAGAGGTAGATAGGAATGCTTAGATTGGAAGGTTTAAGTAGATTTATTATTTCAGCCTGTAGTATTTTTTTTGTCCCCAGTAAATGTATTTGAAATACTTACTGTAACCATGCATTGTGCTGAATATTCCTTTCAAGTCCGTGTAGTAAGGTCGTCACTGCATATTGGCCTGGCACTGAAGTTTTATTCTTTACTATTTGTGTTTTTTGTTTTTGTTTAGACTGTATTGCCAGTTGATGAAAGTTTAACAGAATCTTTAGGAATCAGATCCAAATATGCTTCATTACGGAAGGATGCACTACTGAAATCTGGTAAGCTGCTGTGGGCTGTAACAAGTAAGCTTTAGGCATCAGTAAAAACTAATCTCTTTCTGTCTGCCTGTAGCCCCAGGGCATTTAAGCAGAAGTCTCACTTGAATGGATGCTGATTGAGCAGCCCTTTGAGGGTCATACAAGAATAAATTATTTTATCATCTGCACTATTTTGTATAGTAAAAACAGCAGAAGCAAACTTTTGTCATTAAGTTGACTGTAGTATAAAATTTTCCATGCAATTTGCTAGTCTATTCCTAAGCTATCATTGGGGGGGTGAGGGGAAGGACAGAAGAAAGCAATTGCTTTAAGAAAAAAAATTCTTGATTAAAGGTTAGTTTTCCAGCAAATGATTGCATGAGTGGAAAATGCACAGTAAGTAAAAAAAAAAAAAAAAAATTAAAAAATTGAACATGTATTTAATTTCCTTAGCAGTGTTTTAAATCATTTGGAGGCTTTTCCTGCAAACATTGGAAGAATGGTCATTGCAGAATGACCATGCTTGGAAAAGCTAGACTGATGCCTGGTTAAAGCAGATCTTTACAGCAGTGTGTTGCAGCATGTTAGTGAATTGAAGCCACTGGAGGGACTTTGTATAATTTTAACTCAAACCTATGCTTAAATAACATGATTTTAATTCTTTAGTGTTTGGTGGCGCCATTTGCCGAATGTATCGCTTCCCAACCACTGATGGAAACCACTTGAGAATCTTGGAGCAGATGGCTGAGAGTGTCCTGTCACTGCACATCCCTAGGCAATTTGTGAAGCTTCTTCTAGAAGAAGATGCAGCAAGGTGAGTTCAGGGCAGTTCACATGGGCAGCAATACAGCAGTGATAGCACTGCTATTAAGTTACCAAGGAATATATCTGTGTTAATGCACAGAGGCACTGAAGGAAAAATAGTAAAAGCAGTGAGTTGCTGACTGTACTGTTACAGTTAATAAGATTTCATGTCAGAGTATCACGTTTGGGCTTGAGTGAATCATAACATGAACATACGGAGGGGCTGATGGGAGAGAATTGTTGGCATAGTGAACACTTGATCTCAAACTGCAGTTAGCAGTTATCTATTCCTCTCACAAAAGTATTGGTAAGACCACAGAATATACTATTCCGTAGTAGTATGACTGTGTCAGACCAGCACACCAGAATACATTATCTTTTTATACATATAATCATGTATATACTTCAATTGTTTGTTTTTTAAACATAGTTTATTTTTAATCTAAAGAGAAGAATGAAGTTGAATTAAAAATAAAACATATCTCAATGTTTTCTGGATAGATGATACAGCATAAATGAAAGAGTAAGAACTCCAGCTGCTGAGAATTTTGATAAAGGAACAGAGGCAACACAGAAACCAGCTGAGTATAATGAGTAATTAGAGTACCAGACAGAGAAGAAAAATGTGAATAACTTTGAAGGTGAACTTTGAAAAAGTCAGTTGATTTCTGTGCTATGAAAGCAGAGCAAAGGTAGATGACAGGAGCACTGGCTCCACTGTGAAAGCCACTCCAAAGAGATGCAGGAAGACCTGGGCTCAGACGCATGGCTAGTTTTGAGCAGGGAGTTTGACAAGGTAGTCATAATAGCGTGTTATGCAGAAACAGTTTACAAGATGAAACTGGAAGTGTTTTTTTCCAAGTCACTGATAAATATAGTTTACACTGTTGCTTATTGCCAAATCAATCTGATGTTTTTCTTGTAAATTTGCTTCCTTTTGATAATATCCTAAATACTGTGGAGTGGGAGTTGTTCTGTGAAATGCTGTCTTAAATTATATACAGAGAATTGATTAAAACTGTGGATTAGGGATAATGAGAGAACTGCAAAAAGAACTGCTGGATCCCTTTGACAGATGACTGTTCTGCCTTTTCTGGGGTACTGTGCTGTTGAATTGTGTCTGGTGTTGATTTGTTTACTTTTCCCCTTCTTCCTTTAATCCAAGGAGACAGTAATGCAAGCATGAAATACACAATATTTTCTCAGCAGCACTGTTGGGGAACACTATGTAACACAGGATTGCCATGTGTGACTGAAATCCTAGCACTGTCAGGGTGCAATGGGAAACCAGGGGTTTTCCTGTTCATATCTAGGGGTATCCAGTCATCCTTTATTCCAGTTACAGTGAAACTTGAGTGCCTGAAATCTAAAGGTTTTATTGGTTCGTCTTTTGTCTCCCCAAACCCTTATTAATGCTTACTCATCTTAGGCCTTCCCTGCCTGGCCTTGAAAACTGTTGTGTAGATACCTGGCCAGTGCACATACTCCTTATACCTGGTGTCAGATAGGTGCTGATCTCCCACCTAAACTCTGTCACAGCTCTGGTTAATTTGAGAGACACCAAAGTTCAGTGGCACGGCCTAAAAAGGTCCTCATAATGTCATCATGATTTGGGACAATGACAGCACCCATCATTTGCAAATCATCATATATTTTGGGAGCTCCTGCAGAAAGGTGGGAAGCTTTGGTTTTGACCAACACCTGAGGCTCCTGCGGGGAACACAATGCATTCTGCCTGTGAGGAACTTGTGTACCTTGGAGTCTAGCTCAACAGCTGTGCTTTGGGACATATGTTTGGAGACATACCTGGTGTGGTGAGTAGGCTAGACCAGAGTGAATTGAGAAGTGTCAGGTGAGGATGGTGCTACATTGAAATAACGTGAAACTCATTCTTGTTCAAGTGGCCAATGCAGCTAAACACCTCTTTTTCCTTTTTTTTCTTTCTTCCTTCCCTAGGGTTTGTGAGCTAGAAGAACTGGGAGAACTGTCTCCTTGTTGGGAAAGCCTTCGTCGACAAATAGTTACTCAATACCAAACAATTATTTTAACTTATCAGGAAAATCTAACTGACCTGCACCAGTATAAAGGTGATTTGTATTTAATGATAACATGATACTTCTCATCGTTAGTGCTTCTCTGAAATTGAGAACCCAGAATGTTTTAGTTTGATGAATAAAAATACTTTTATTAGATTTCTTTTCTTCATTAACATTTATTGTGATTTTGCTAATGATCTGGGAATATTTGTCTACTTTATTCATTCTCTTATTTTACACTGAAAGTAGAGAACAATTATGAACAGCAACAGAAGGATATATCTTTTTTTTTTTTTTTTTTTTGCTTTGCTTCCAGCATGTAGCAAATGATGAATAAAGCTCCCTGAATGTTTTAGCATAAGCAGAAGTAGAGGGTTTTTGTGCTTACTTTTCTCCTGTGTTTCTCAGGTCCTTCATTTAAAGCCAGTAGCTTGAAAGCTGATAAAAAATTGGAATTTGTTCCTACAAATTTACATATACAGAGAATGAGAGTCCAGGATGATGGAGGATCAGGTATTTGTTTCTTTCTCTCTTTCTTCACCTTATTCTGTTACTTTTCTCTCCCTGTTTTGATTTAGATCCTCAACCGTATAGCCAAGTTTCTACAAACTACTGCTCTGTAGTACTTGTGCTACTTAGCGTTTTTGTAGCATTTTCTATCCTCGGATTCCAAATCTCTTTGCAAAAGAAGAGGTGTGATTATCACTACTCTGCAGGTGGCCAAACTAGGTTCTGTAGTTAACTACACCTTAGGTGACATAAATCAGCCTTTGTACTAGGGAATATATTGGATTAAGTCTCTGTGTGCCTTCCAGTCATTTTGAGTTGTAGCAGAATAGCAAAGGTTCTGACTGCTGTTTGTTGTTAAGCTCGTGCACTTTTTCTCTGGAACCATCATGTACAGCTATGCAAAATCACACCAGTTTGTGCACATCAAGCTTGTTTATTCATAAATAACCTAGGTTTTCCCTTCTTTTAATAGTAATTCCCACTAACATGTGACACTTATCCCATGTATCCATATGAGGGATTCCAGTAATGGTAGGGTTTGTGTAAAGACCAATATTCAAGGCTTCTTTTTCACTAACGGTGTTCTAGATTAAGAAACAGAGGACCTGCATTCAAGTACGGTTCTTTCACCTCAAAAGTACTTGATTGATTTCCAGGGCCTCTAAAACAATTCAGTTTTCCATGTCCTTCAAAACACTGGCACAAAGTTTTACAAGAATTACTTTCAGAGTAGTTTTTGAATTTCCACAGTTGTTTGTCCACGTTAAAGATGACAAACTTTCATTTGTAAGTCCTTTTTGTCCATCCCAGATCAGAACTACGACATAGTCACCATAGGAGCACCAGCAGCTCATTGTCAAGGCTTTAAATCAGGTGGCTTGAGGAAAAAGCTGCATAAATTTGAAGAGGCAAAGAAACAGTAAGTAGAAATGTTGTTGTGTCAACTGTAATTGTGCCTTTTCCTCCTGGTCCATGCTCAGTGATTTGGAAAATCAGTCCATTCTATGTTTTTGTTGCACTTCATTCAATAGTTCTGCTATACAACATGAGAGTTATTCCATGTTTTTTTCTAAAGAAGGAGAGGAAAAACAGTTACCCCTTTATATTACAATATTTATTTGTTTAATGATGAGCCCTTTCTAATAGTCTTTTTAGTTAAATCTTTAATTCTCCTGAATACTTGTTGGTTCACTTAGTTTAGTTATCTTAGGTGTTGGGTTTGGGTTCTACCTAATTGTGGATAGAAAATCTGTCTGTAGAACCTCCTCAGCTGCACTACATCATGCTTTCAACCCATTATTTTCAGGAAACTTTCATGCCTCTCATAGCTTCATGGTCCTGTTGCTGAACTCTCTTTAGCACAGAACAGCTGTACCTGATAGGCAAATTTCTTGTTGACATCTTGGGTTCAGTTCTGGGACTATTGCTGGAGGTTTTTCTGCATTGCCTCAAGGTTTATGCACAGATGAGGCTTCTGCATCTGGCCTCACTCTGCTCTACAGGCAGGATACTTGACAGTTGTGTCGTCAGGGACTGTCTAGTGACCTCTCTGGAAGTGCAACCATGTGTACTAGAGGAAGGGGCAGAAATTGGGAAAGTTGCATATGCTAAAGGGAGAAACCTGTGCGACACCCACTGCAGCTCCCAAGGAGGCGATAATGCTGTCTAAGTCTGCATTACTTTTGCTGCAGTATGGAGAACTTAAGGAACAATGAGAGCAGGAAGACTAGGAGCCATTGTACCCAGGGAAAAAGAGACCTTGATAATACCCTTCCAAAGAAATGATTGGTAGGATTTGGAGCTGACGGGAGGAGGGAGTGACGTGGGAACCAGGCTCTGCCAACTGCAGAATTAATTTTGGCAGTGGAGGAGTGAATAGCAACATCCTGTGTACATCAGTCAGATATGTACTGATACAAAGATTGGTGCAAAAATATGCCTAGTGTAATTATTCCTGACTTACAGAGTACACTAGGATGGGACTAGAGGAAACTGTAAATCTGGAAACACTGGTATGCTAGGCTCACCCTTCCTGTTCTTTTGATACTGGTATTGCTTTCTGAAATAACATTCTTCTGTCAGTTTAGCTACTGAAGTGGGCCTCAATCCTGCAATATTTAAGTTGCTGTCTCTTCCCCTCCCCAATAATTAAGCTGATCAGAGAGTTTAATTTCTATCCAGTACTTTTCCTCTAAGCTTTACAGAACTGTTCCTTCTGGGTCTATGAAGACTGCAGGTTCAACATTTGAAGAATAACTTTCCTTTTAAGTGCTTCTATGTTATCATAAAAGCCAGTATAGTAGAACTGAGATCCATCACCTCAGTTTCACTGTTACATAGATACCACTCATTTTTTTCTCCTTTCATTGGCAAAACTGTGCTTGGTGCATCCACAACACTTCCCAGAACAACACATGGGCACCTGGCAATCTTGTTTTTTTGCTTACAATTTTAATCATTATGTACCCGCCTTGTTGAAAAGATCACTCAAATAAGTTATTTCCCCAGACATCCTTTGTTTTATTTTCTGCTTTTGGTATTTGCTAACAATCTGCTAATTTTATTTTGGTTTTTTATTTTTTTTAGCAGTTATGAGGAGTGTTGGTGAGTTTTCTGTTTCTGAGAGTTCTGTAGAGGAGGTTTCTATTCTTTGGGTTGTTTTTCTTTTCTTTCTTTTACTTGTCAGAGATCTGATGTGTTTTAAAGTGTGCAGGGCTTTTTAATGTCGTGCATCATGGCATCCCTAATTGTGCTCTAAGTAATTGTAGCAGCTTTGCAGAACATGATGTGTGAATGAATTTCATTTCATCTGCAATGTTTGTTTGTAATGAACAGCTAGCTTCCTGGCTCTCTCTAATCATAAGAAGTTAGAAAGCTGAAGATCAGAACACAAGAATTTTATATCTTTTCCTCTGCTATTTCCAGTGAAAACTGCCTGGAGAGAGAAACTTTCTGTCAGAGGTGGAAGATAATTAAGATAACTCTATGTATTTTTAAATATTTATGGTGATAGATTGGGCATGGTTTATATTTTTGTAACCCATGTCTTCATTTAAACTTTTGTTTATTTTTTCATGTTGTGGTGTTCAGTGCTATGAAAAGGAAACATTACTTGGTGGTTCAACAGCACAGTTCTGCTCTAAATTACTCATATTAAAGGCTGAACCCCTCATTCATTGAGAGTTTAAGGCTATGCTACAGTTTGCTGATATAGTAGAGTGAGAGCTGTTCATTTGAAAAAGCAATTGCAGGTTGGAAAGTAAATATATGTGAACTTTACACCATAAATTTTTCCCCCTGATCATCCCAGCACATGTTTGTGATTAAAAATGTGGTAATTCTAAATCAGATCTCAATATGCTGCATGGCCTTTCCTGCCAAATACGTCTTTATGCATGTTAACCACGCTGTCGTGGAAAGAAATTGCTCAGAGGAATTGTCACCAAGATCACAGGTCAATAGAGAGCACAAATCATGTACAGAGAAAAGTCCTAAAAGCTGAGATTAATTTTCTGTATGGCATAGCAGTACTGGGGAGTGGTAGTTCTCTGCTCCACTCAGATGGGTGACCAGAGGGACACAAATAAGGAAACTCTTTCAAGAATCACTTCAGTATTATGTCCTTTAAAAACAAATCCTTAATCTTTTCTTGTAATGGAGCTCAGACAGATATTGGTATTGTGCTCTCCCCTTGCCTTAGTATCAGTTAAGGGACAAGAATTGGTATTTGTGGCAATTATTTTAAAGCGTGCCCCAAGCCATCCTCCTGTCTTACCTCACAGACATACTGCAGAAATTAATGGCATTGCTCTAGGGGTAGCAGAAAAATACACACTCCTTGGAGGTTGTGATCTGAGGTAACTGTGCCTGGAAAAGAAACTCCTTTCTGTGTAGTCTCTCAGCATAGCTGTGTCCATCGAACAGTGCAGAGACTGGTGCAAACAGCAAATTCTTCTGTGTTGTTACTATGCTGAAACCATTCATGACTGCACAAAAATGAATAAAATTGAGACAGTGTACAATTGGTGTCACCTCATGCTTGATGCCATGTCATGAACGGGCATCATACTTGTCACAGCTGGAGCTGACGTAAAGGCCTGATCTTTGTATGGCTTTCCTGCTGGGAGGAAAAAACCAGCATATTGCCTGGCAAAGGGAGTAGTGGTGGGTTAGTTCCAAGTCGTTAACTAAGACCGCAACTTCAGATTAAAGTAATTTTATCTTCTCAGGGAAGATTAAATAAGCCTTTAGAAGGGCTTTTCTTTGTCCAGCAGTTACAGAGGGAGTCCAAGCATCTGTCTTGGACTGGATAAGCAGCTTCTGTAGACATCTAAACTTACAGGACATAAAGTATTCTCCTCCTCTACCAAAAAAGCAGTCTTAATGGAGCTACAGTATCCCAATATAAAGATAGATTTTATTAGTATAGTTTATTTCCCTTACTATCTGTAAAAGGTGAAAATTTGGTATTGCTTTATATTGTTACAGCTGAGTTTATAATAGGGAGAGTTGTGTCATGTCCCTAGTTGAGTGTAGTGTGTGCTGACAGAAGCTACACCAAGGACAGAGTCCTTGGATTAGCCTGGTGATAAACTTTGTTTTTTATCCATCATAAGATTGCTTTTACTGGTTGGTGTAACTTGAATCAGGCCCACAATAGTGGAAAGGATATAGTAGCAGAAGGATTTTTTTGTTAATACCACAGTTTTTGCGTTATCGATCTGGGTGCCATTTCTGTGTTAGAAGGAATGTAGATTTTCTTTTCATGGTGCTAGTAGCTTTGTGATAAAACAGGTTTGTAAACAAGGTCTCAGTGAAGTGTCTGTGTTGTAAGGAGAGGGAGAGTGGGGCAAGCTGACTTCTGCAAACAGTGGTTCTGTATTTGATGGCAAAATCCATCACCCACATTCTCTTCAGCAAAACTGTCCCTCTGGTATACTGTCCCTCTGTCCCCTCTGCTCACAGCCCCTTGGCATAAGGGATTAGTAAATCTGCCTGTGAATGCTTTCAGTAAAGGCAGAGAAGGCTCTAGGATCATGTTCCTGCTGTGCAATTGCCCACTGGCCTTTCACTGTTGATTGCTATCTTAGGTAAATTTTTGTTGTCTACCATTAATTCCCCAGCATGCCACTGTAATGTGTGTATCTCTAGATCAATTTTCTCCCTAAAATCGGTCTTTCTTTTTCAGCACTTCAACAAGTTCCCAGTCTATAATATACATCCCACAGGACATTGTTAGAGCAAAGGAAATTATTGCACAGATCAACACCCTGAAAACTCAAGTGAGTTACTATGCAGAAAGGCTCTCAAGAGCTGCCAAGGATAAATCAGCTAATGGCCTTGAAAGAACACTTGCCATCCTGGCAGACAAGGTAGGAGAATAATACATTTCCACACTGAAGCACAGTGTTATTTTTTTTCCTCTCTCTTTAGTAGGTTTTCTTGAAACATCTATTTTACCTTGTTCAGTAGTGTATTGTAGCATGTACAGTCCTAAAAAAGCAAAATCAGACCAGCCTTTAAAAGGTGCTGCTTTTTATTTAGGTTGTCTCCTATTTTTCATGCTCTTGCCTTCACCTCCTCTTGAGAGTGCAGTGGAGAGCAATGTCCTCTGGTTCCCTCTATTCATTCATCATATTCCAGAAATGTGCATTCTTCACTTTCTTTTATACCCTTTTCTCCATAGCTACCTGGTGTTTCTTAATGTTCTTCTGAGTCATCTGTCAAGCAGCAGCAACTGGGCAAAAGTTAATGAAACAATTCTGTATTTTTCCACTGGTGAAATAAGGAATAATGATGACACAGCCTTTGCTTGAATTATAGTGATGTGAATGGATTATTTCTTGATGGATGCTAACAGAAAACAGACTGGACTTACAGCTTAACACAATCTTATTTACAGGGACAAAAAAACAGATACAGTTTTACTGATCTCTTCTGTCCCTGAAGTAAGTTTGAAGGTTGCAAATGGCAGCAATGGCAAATCAGTTTGCCATAAATTGTCCCAGTGGAGGGGATATTCATACAGCTTTGTAAAGTGCAAAAAATAATGTGACCCCATGTAAATCTCCTATTTATTAAAATATTCACTCTAAATGAGTACAGAGTGTATAACTGATCTGTGGGATTTTCTACAGCTGGACAACATGTATATATAATGTAGTAAGGGCTTATTTGTTTTCTTGTTTTAGTAGACCCACAGGCCATATACTTTTCATGTTGATGTAACTTACAGAAATCCTTTAATGCAACACCACTAAGTAAGACAGGGAACAAGCTGCATTGATTAGTGGGTTATATCTTCAGCCTTCCTCTTGGGTCTCGTTATGATTTCAGACAGGATGGTGAAGGTTAAGCATGGTCTCTCTGGTGTGGCAACTTCTTGTGTGGGGTATAAAAATGTCTGCACATTGTCCTAAGCTTTCATCAAATGGAGAGTGAAGTGCAAATAAAGGTGAACTGCATGTTTATTAGTGAAATTTTCAACAATTGCAAGGCTAACATAGTACTACAGGCTTGTACCATTTGTATTTTGGTATCTTATATTGCTTTTTAAGGCTATTCTGTAAAATGATTTTAAAGGCAACTTAAAGACTTCTAAATAATGGTTCGTTTCTTTTACAGAATACTAGTTCTTTTTTCTTTCTGTGAAAGAATATAGTATAAATTGTGAATGGAATAATGCAAAGCTGTTAAAATGCGGGGGGTTTATTGCTTTTTAGACCCGGCAACTTGTCACAGTCTGCGACTGCAAGCTGTTGGCAAATTCAATACATGGACTGAATGCTGCAAGGCCAGATTATATAGCTTCAAAAGCATCTCCAACCTCTGGAGAAGGGGAGCAAGTGATGCTGAGGAATGATCAAGATACACTTGTGGCCAGATGGACAGGAAGAAATAGCCGATCTTCTCTGCAGGTGGACTGGCATGAAGAGGAATGGGTATGTTTACTTAGAAGAGTGATGAATATTTTATCCTTTTTAGTTTGTTTGCTGTGTTTTTTTGTTTATAAGCTCTGTAACTGCTCACCAGATATGCATAGGATGAGTATTTTGGAGGTATTGGTCAACTAGCAAAGACATTGCCTCTATCCTATGCTCAGTTACTCCTTGGCATGGTGATGCAAACAGGCCTTAATAAATAATTCTGGGTCTCCTAGACAGTGGAAATCACTAACGTAGGTGCATGGGTTTTCTGAAGTCGGTTCCAATGGAAAGTAAATAGCTTTTAGAGTGAAAAACTGACTGTACTATGAAAAGCTTTTACACTTCTCCAAAATAAAGCATATTTTGCATGTGTTAGCTATACAGTTCACCTCCCTGCTTTTATTCTCTTCTAAATATTTAGAACCTGCAGTCCATCTCTGTTTTGATTACGAACAGCATTTTAAAACTGTTTGCACAAAGTATTTAAATGGTTTTCCTTACCACACTGCTAACTGAAATGAGAATTGGGCTGTGTAAATTCTGTCATTGTGTAATATAAACAGAAGTTAATTAAATCTCAAAAATAGCCAAGATTAATTAAAAGAATTATTAATATTGTGAAATATCAATTTCAAAATGAGATCCAATTCATTTTGGAAATGGATCCTTGCAAGTTTTGTTTTGGCATACTTTGACTTATAGTCAAATTCACAATAATGAGATACAAATAAAGCCAGTTCAGTTATTTAGATAGTAATACAATACAGTAATTTTAGCTATATAGGAAAAAAGATGTGCGACTGTATACAATTGTTATGTCAAACATGAGTTTCAATAGTAAACAATAGTGCCAACTGGAAATTGGAATAATAGTGCAGGAAGAGGCACTTAAAATTGTTCAGCAAATTTACTTAGAAAATAGCTTTGCAGTTTACCACACAAGTCATGTTGCTACATATGGTTAATGTGCTGGTATATGTTATTTATATATCCAGAATTTGTGTGTGCACAAATGTAAACAAGATAGCCCAGAGGAAACTTCGCAAAGGAATTATGATTAGAATCACAGGAGGAAATATGTTGCTGAGGGATTTGTTACCCAATGTCTCTTTTATTTTTAAATTGAGAAAGAAATGTTTTCTTTTAAGGAGAAAGTTTGGTTGAATGTTGACAAAAGTCTGGAGTGTATTATACAGAGAGTGGACAAACTTCTCCAGAAGGAGCGCTTGCAGAGTGACAGCTGTGAAGATGTTTTCCAGTGCGACATCAGCTGTACTAGTAAGAAAGGTAATCGGGACACTCGTGCCTACTGGATAAATCCAGAAGATTTAACTGAGACCTCATCATCCTCACCACCTTCATCATCCTCACCACCGCCTTCATCCACACCATCCTGTGCATGCCATTCTCTCAGAAAGACAAGTGCGTATGCCAGACACTGCTTCTCACTGCTGCTCTCTTCCTGTGCGCTGCCATCATTCCTGTGCCTCTGTTACATCCTTCCATGTGTTTTTAGTTCAGAAAAAAGCACTGACATCAGGCAGAAAGGGCTGGTGGTTTACATGGAGCTGCTAAGCCCATTACTTATTTTGAAATCCTGATCCCATTGAAAACATTGCCAAATCCATTGCTGGCAATGGCATTTGGTTTTCATGGTGGCTGTTTTAAGCTGGTAAAACAGGTGTTTGGGTTAGCACATGTCAAATACCACCTTTGGTAGCTTTCCTATTGGCTTCGGCTTCTTTGTGGCAATCAAAGCTTATAACAGTGAACCTCTATAAAAGATAAATAAACCATGAGAGAAGTGCAGGCATTACTGCAACACTAATGGTCCCAGCTGGGCTGCCAAAGCATAGGAGGGGAGCCAAGCAGTCCTGTGAGACTCAACTGAACTTGGATGAACATACTGGAGTTTAAAGCAAATTTTAACCCAAATTGTCAAAAGCTGTGGTGCTGAGTAACTCAATTAGGCTTCTTGTAGCTGGAAGGTAGGAGTTGTCAGTGCAAGCTCTCAGTGGAGTAATCCTATCAAAGTTTGAGGTAAAGTAGATGCTGGATGGAATCCAGTATAATGCCATGAGCAAGCATGTGAATGAAAGGTATCCTTATCAGTTTAGGTTGACAGTTTTGCAGCCATGCATTAAATTTCAAAATTATTTCATTTACCTATGTACTAATTTGACTTATTCTCACATTCTTTACATGAGGTCACTATGATTTGGCCACATAATAGAGAAGGTGTGCCAAGTTAACCTCTAGAAAGATTGATGTATGTTTTCATTTCCTTCTTCCTGTTCTTTCTTATCACTTGATGGCCCTTTGTCACTTACGTGTGTCTGTGACTTCATGTCCATCCCATTGTTAATGTTGCAGTGGAAAGCAGTACCTTAAGAAAAAGAAAGCAGGAAGGAAGTTAAAATAAATGTTAATATATTTTTGTGTAGCTTTGTACATGTTATGTATGATTTGTTTAGTATCTTAAATGACCATGTTTTCCTAGATTAGACTGACATTTTTGTGTATTATAAAGGAACAGGAGAGCTGGTTCTTGTTTCAGAATGTGTTCTCCATTAATCTTTGACTAAATTTCTTCTACCAGTTTGATACCTTTAAATGTTTTTATTTGCTACCTAGTTTACATGAAGTCTTATATGTATTTACATGAAGGTTTTATCAGTAAACTTCAATGCACATTCATATCAATGATTAAAAGTTGTAGATTTATAATATTAAAAAGAATAGGAAAAATCTATGACGGGTCATATCAGAAGCTTTTCCCAAGACAATTTGATGCTGAAAGCATCTTAGAACAATAATTTTCTTTAATTTTTAGTTGATCTTTTAAATCTACTCTGGATCTTGACACTTATGCCATATAAAAGTGGAATTGGCTGCACTTACCTACCAAAGGGTTTGTTTGTGCCAAAAGGTTCTGTAACTTTTCCCTGCTGTTCCTCCAAAATAGGAAGAAAATCTTTCTATTTAATCCTCAAAACCTGGAATAGAAACATTAAATCAAGAAGTGTCACAAGCTTTAACGCTAAGGGGCTTGCTGCTGTTTCCCAGTGCTACCAAAATGTAAGGACTAGATCTGAAGTCTGACTGTCAACGAATGTAGGGTGATGGGTGAATTTAACTTAAAAAATCCTGGAGAAGGAAGCCTGTTTCTTAGGTATTTGCTGCAAACATTGTTTGTAGGTCTTAATTGGGAATTTGAGTTGCACTTGGGAAGTTTATTGTAAGCCAGGGCAAACTGAGTACTCGATCACATTCTCATCAGATGTAGTTCCCAATTAATGGTCCATATTTTTCACAGAGGAACAGGTTCAATACTATGAAAGAAGCTGGTCTTACTGAAGTCAATGGGAGTTTTCCCATTGAGTTACTTTCCTTGACTCCACACCAACCTGGCCTGTTAAATGGTTTTAAGGAAGAATTTTTTAACAATGAGGGTGGTGAAATACTGGAGCAAGTTGCCCAGAGAGGTGGTAGATGCCCCATCCCTGGAAACATTCAACTTCAGGTTGCACAGGTCTCTGAGCAACCTGATCTAGTTGAAGGTGTCCCTGCTCATTGCAGGGGGAGGTTGGACTAGATGTCCTTTAAAGGTCCCTTCCAACTCAAACTTTTCTATGATTCTGTGAATTCTCTTTCATTGTCACTTTCCACAACTGATCACATGAATAATTGAGGGACAAAGAAGAGTCTTTCTCCAAGTTCAGAATCACAACATTTTAAAGTTTTTCCTTGTCATGTATTCAAAGAACTAACACTTTTTCTGTTAGTGATTCTGAGTTTTGAATAAATGACACTGAGCAAAGAGTGGCCAGAAATTTTTTTGAAAGCAATGTAAAAACCAGCAAACCAAGATAGTTCCAGAATTGGTAAGAGAGAGATGATAGAATGTTATTGAAGGACTTCAGAGGATCTCTCTAGAAATGAATGTTTGTGAAAGAAGATACTGCCTGAAATAGTAGAAGGGAGGCTTAAGAAATTATTTTAAAATTAATTTTTGTTATAGGCTTAGGTATTCATTACTAAAATTGGATGGGAACATCCAATCATCTTCTTTAGTGAAGATGATAACTTTTAATTTACTGAGAGGTTTTTATCTTGGATTGTCTAGCTCAGCTGATTGTCCTAATGCATACAACTGAATTTTGTATTTTCTGTTGTTACTTTCAAATTCATAATTCATTGACTAGTGAATCTAGATAGAAACAACAGGAGTTTAAATCCTGTTAGCTTAATTAACTACTTTTCATTAAGACTTGCTATAGCAGGGTGTATTTTTGGGTTTTTTTACTGTTCGTATTGCACTGTAGTGCATTTTAATCTGACAGCTTGTTCCTCCCACTGAAGCAAGCGTGGAACACTCCCAGGCTTCACTGGTGAGGCTTCAGCCCTTAATATACAATCTAATGCTTGTGTTAACTATCTCAGAAATAGTATAACAGAAATTTCTCTAAGACAGCAGAGTAGTGTTTCTTCATTACTCTTGAGTTGTGCCTTAATTTCATTTTTTGTTAAGTGCATTGAATTTACTGCTAGTCTTTTGCTATTCTGCTCAGCAGCCTTACTGCCAGCTTATTCTATAATTGCATTAAACCGCTGGTTCTCAAATTGTGCCCTGTGGATTGCTGGGGATTGACAGTGCACTTGCTGGTAATCCCCAGAGAGTCCCTGAGCTAGCAGGTGCTGGCTTTCCTCCAAGTCCCCATCCAGTGTTCCTCTGATCAGAAACAGTGGAGTGGAGGAAACAGGCCATGCTCTCAGTGCCTGCAGGCAAAGGAGTATCTCTGCTGAGCTCCTCTTCGCTCAGTGAAAGTGTTTGAGAACCCTGGCATTGAGCATTTGAGTTGCTTATATTTAGACTGTGTTGCTGCTCCTTAATCATGCATGTTGCCCCTCCATTTCTGTGCAGATTGCAGCCCCACTCCGGAAGAATCTGGCCCAGGTATGTGCATTCATGGCTTCTGCTTTTTCTGAAAATTGCAGAGGTTTGTTAATCATTAACAACTGAACAAGTGCCTCGCTGTTGAGATTGACCATTTTGAAATGGTAATGCTCTGCAATATCACGTGAGTTACCTAAGCATATTGAGAAGTTATTATTTCATAAATAATAGTGCAAGGGGGTATCTGGTAACTTCTCATGTCCAGGTATGGGAGAGCACTTGTTCATGATCTTTTTCGTCTCCCCAGTTGATATGTTTTAGTAAATTGTTGTAGGTGACAATGATTTGAGGCGTGTTCCAAATGTCATTGAAGTCTGTGGGAGTCTTGACATTTCAGACATGCCCTTTCATATGTGCTGTTGAGATGGCCTTTCTGAATGAGAACTCGAGCAGAATGTGGAACAGTCAACAGGGCTGATGGAAAACCTCTGTTGTGGGTATACACCAAGCAGTGTTAGGCACTGCAAATCTGATGTTTCAGAATACAGAATTTAGGAGACTTTCATCCCTTCTTTCCTCTGTCCTTGTACTTCCAGACACTTGTGCTGAATTTACAAGGTCTGAATAATATACCTCTGTAGTACCACTCTCTCCCAGCTAGATGGCTGTAATTTCTCCCATTTGAGAGTAGTTTAATCTGAGTTCGGTGAAGGTTCAGTCTTTGAACTGTTGCAGCCATGGACTCCTGGGTTTAGTGAAACCAATGGGAAATAAAGCCCCAGTGCAGGTATGATTTTCATCTTCGCAAAATATATTGGTGATATTCTCAGCTATACACCCTATTTCCTTCTGTCACTGAGAAAATGTTTTTAATCAGTAAAAGACTCTAAAGTTTTTAATTCGTGGAACGTCACTTTAGTTTTTTCAAAATATGAATGTGGTGCTATTTATTTATTTTTAAGGTGTGAGTAATTAAAAGCAGTCAGGATACCCCAACTGGGTACTCAGATATACCCCAAACTGCAGTGGCTGAAGCTGCAGTGTAGTGAAGCACTTAATGCTTGCTTCTCTCTGAAGCCAAATGTGATGTGACTGTGTGCTTGAGTGGGTTGTCGATTATACTTTACTGGATCAGGGCTAAGCAACTAACACTTATTTAATAAATCTCTAATTTTAGAGATCATGAGTCCTTGCAACTCTGACCTAAACCGAGGGCAGCTGCAGGTGCCCAGTGCTTTGATTTATGGATGCTAGGGTGGTTTTTTTTATAATATGAAAAGACTAAAAATATCTTTTCAAGGTCCCTTTTATAAAATAGTAGTGTGTAGTCAGAGAAGGTCCCTTATGTGAACTCTGGGGCCTTCCCAGCAGCCCTCCCTCCCTCTCTCTCTCTCTCTCTTCCTCCCCCACCCCACCGTTACATTTCAAAGTGTACATTAAGGTATGACTTTGATCAGCAGCAATCATAAGAAAAAGCAGACTCACAGGGCTGGGTATGGTTCTTATTCACCAGCCAGAATTCAGTTGTAGCTGTCTGAGTGGAGACTGCAGGATGTGTCTCTTGCCGCACAATATAAAGCACCTAAAACAAATGACAGGTATCCTGCTGATTTGTACAATACCAGTTTTTAAATGAAATAACTTTTAACACAAACAAGAAACCTCTGAGTAAAAAGTGGGATTTGTGGCCCAGACTTACCAACAGCTAGCTTGGACTAGGTCTCTGGCTGTTGTAAATCTGTAACAACTTGTTGCATCTCCATTTTTTTCAGGCCCTACACCAAATCATCCTACTTATGGATCTGCCGAGTGGAGGCTACAATATTTTTAAGAAGTTCTGGTCACCTCATAGAATGTAACAGCAGAGCTCAGAGTAGATTTCACATTAGAATTTGTGCCTCATGGTGTTTGAAGGTGCCATTGATTGATTTGATAGAAAACACCCTTTCAGTAATAAAGTTCGGTTAGGAAAATTAATGAGGGGAATACAGACGGACAAGAAAATCCAGGTGAAAGTTGAACACTTAGAATCATTTCACATTTATTTAAAACCTGACAGTGGAATGTTCCAACCTGATTTGAGCCTGGGAGTGCAATTCCTTTTATTCCTGTGTACTATTAATAGCAACTACCATTGACTAAAATATTAAAAGAATACAGGTGGCACCTCCGTGAAGTAGGTAGCAAAAAGCATTTAGAATTTTTCAGACTGACAAGGGTTTGTTTATCATGGCCAGATTTTTAAACCAGGAGAATACACAGCACAGAGGATTTTCTTCTCATTACCTCGGATGAGCCCACTGCGTTGCATATGAGTGCTGGGAGAAAAAAAAAAGTCTAACAATTATCTTCTGTCAGGCAGTTAATCTTGTCAGTTATGTTTCTGTTAGCAGACTTCCGAAGTTTGCCTCTTTGGCTGGTCATCAAAGAAACATTTATTATTCCTAGCTTAGACCTGCCTTTGAGTCAAAATCCCAAACAACTTCCTTTCAGGAGCTGGAAGTGCCCCATTCATTCAGGTTCTGATCTGTATATTGCCTTGTTCCTACAGGCAACCAGGCTGAGGGTTGTGTGTGTTCTGTTTGTGAGCTTTGGTGCTTTTTAAAAATAAAACACGTTGTCCTTCCCTTTAAAAAGAGAAGTGTTCTTCTCTTTCAACCTTACATTAAAGAGGGCAAAACCAAAGGACTGTTCTATTTTCTTTTTATATTTCGGAGAGAATGGATTTTGATGTAGCATCTGAATAATTTTTTGTACAGTCATGGTTTTTAAAATTGGTGGTTGATAAGACAAAAGATGAAAGAAGGAAAGAAAAGAAACTGAGCTTGTGGGGCATTTTAAGGCAGATCAATCTCTTAAGGAGAAGGAAGGCACAATGTTTGGGGTACTAAAGGAGGACAGTGCCAACCCAGTTTAATTTGTATGTCCTGTGTAGGACCTTGAACAGAGTCCCTCTGGGACATATCTCCTATATTTCAGTGGAAGTCAAGCTCTGAACTACTTTCAAGGATCTGGCTAACTCCCATCTAAATCACTGTGCTTAGTGTTTCTTGCTAGCTAGCTCAAAGCCACTCAGCAGACAGAGGACATTTAAAAGAGTACCTACGTGAATTTTTCACCTCTCTGCCTTATTATTCCTATGCTGCAAATGGGTGATAAGCATCATCTTACCTCACTGAGGTGCAGCAAAGATCAGTAAGATGGTGAGGCAGTTGAACAATACACCTGTGAGTCCACGAAAGATTCAAAGGCAAGATATTTGGGAGAAATTTCATGGACAGAAATGGCTAAGCAGGTGTTCATTATTTCTGTTATACGATAGACTCCATACTGTCTGTCCATGTATGCACTGTGAAAGGGTGTGTTTGAACATGCACACGCAGTGATATACACTTGTGTATATAGATACTCATCTTTCTGTTATGCTTTCCAAATCAGCTATTGTATAGCCTGTTCTATGGCCACAGATCTGGGACCTATTTACATGGTCAGGAAAGTCATAACAGCCTTACAGAGTAAAATTCTCCATGTTTTCCTCATGTGATAACCACTCTGTAAGATTACGTAATTAGTAACAAGCAGGGAGTAACCAGCCAGACAAAATAAAAGAAGCCCTAAATGTGAACTTTGACTTGCAACAGGAAGTTTCTTCTTAATGCATGTTTGTTTGTTTGTTTTAAATACTTACAGTGCTGCTAATTCTTTTCTTTTAACCAGGTGAATGGAGCGAAGCTCTTTATCCCTTGCTGACAACACTCACAGACTGCGTAGCCATGATGAGTGACAAGGCAAAGAAGGCCATGGTCTTTTTATTAATGCAGGACAGCGCCCCAACAATAGGGCTGTGCCTGAGCCTTCAGTATCGCAGGGATGTTGTCTTCTGCCAAACTGTAAGCAAGCAAATATGCATAATTGATTGCACTTGGACGTCTGGTAGGGTTTATATGAAATATGAAAGGTGACTGTTTTCAGAATTTTTCAGATCTATTCTGCTCTTGGGTTCAACACTCTGATCTCCTCTCACAGGCTGTGCTATCCAGTCCTTGCTGATCACTTACATGTATTTGACAATATATAACTTAAGTGTCCCCTTGGATATACGTTCACTATTAAAAAAAAAAAAAAAAAAAAAATCCAGAACTAGTGAAAATAACACTGCTGTCTACAGAAACAACCTTTGCCTTCCAATGCCACCAAATTAAAACCAGAAGTAAGATGTGAAAGTGAGAGGGAGGGAGGCCCATGAGCAGAAAGTGAACTCCCTCAGTTACCCTTTGGTTTTCTCAATGCAGAAAGCAACAACAGCATCTGCAGTACCTAAGGAGAGGTCCACCTACCGGGGGAGAAATGAGTGCTGTTTTTTCTTTTTTTTTTCCTAGAAGTTCTGTTTCTGAAATTGGTGGGTTCTCTTGTGTCAGCCACTGATTAGCAGGAGTGTACAGTAAAAAACCTTCTCCATTTCTTCTGCCCACTAAACTTCTGCAGTGTGTCTCCTTCCCGGTGAAATCAGTATCTCGTTCATTCATTTCAAACAGCTTATCTCTTGGACGTTATTTGGTAGGGCTGTTGTCCCAAAATGTAATACCTCATAGAGATAAATTAAGGGAATTTTTCTGGACAAAACCCACTGCATATTGCAGATAATTTTAAACTCAATGTTCTTAATGTGTTTACCCATCATAAATAGAATTTTATTCTCTTTTGTTTAATTCTGTAACAAAGTCATACACCTGTGTACATAGCATATGGCAATCACCTGGGAAATTCCTTTGTTGACAGCGTGAAGTAAGACTAGAACTAATCTTAGATCTTAGTACTGATCTTAGTACTAGGTCTTCAGGACCTTGTCCTGAATATACCATAACACTAGAGTTTGAATCTTTGCATAATGCAAACAGGTGTTGCATTCTTAAGCTTTCTTAAAATGTCATTTAAAAAAAAAATCATTTATTTGCACTATCAAAATTGATGGCCTAGAACGAGCTGTGTTGCTTTTCCATCTGTAACTAAAACAATTCTGCAAGGAGACTGTTTCATAATTCATAAGCGTTAGACTCTAATACAAGTGATTGTGTCCAGAAAAAAAATAGATGCACGACCTGGCAATGTGCACTTGCAGCCCAGAAAGCCAACCGTGTCCTGGGCTGCATCAAAAGAAGCGTGACCAGCAGGTCAAAGGAGGTGATTCTCCCCCTCTACTCTGCTCTTGTGGGACCCCAACTGGAGTGCTGCATCCAGCTCTGGGTCCCCCAGCATAAGAAGGACATGGACCTGTTGGAGCAAGTCCAGAGAGAGCCATGAAAATGGTCAGAGGGCTGGAGCACCTCCCATATGAGGACAGGCTGAGAGAGTTGGGGTTGTTCAGCCTGGAGAAGAAAAGTCTCCAGGGAGACCTAACAGCAGCCTACCAGTACTTAAAGGGGCCCTACAGGAGAGATGGGGAAACACTCTTTATCAGGGAGTGGAATGATAGAACGAGGGGTAACAGCTTTAAGCTGAAAGAGCATAGATTTAGATTAGATATTAGGAACAATTTTTTTCCTGCGAGGGTGGTGAGGCACTGAAATAGGCTGCCCAGAGAAATTGTGGATGCCTCACCCCTGGAGGCGTTCAAGGCCAGGCTGGATGAGGCTTTGAGCAACCTGGTCTAGTGGAAGGTGTCCCTGCCCATGGCAGGGGGATTGGATCTATCTAGATGATCCCTAAGGTCCTTTCCAACCCAAACCATTCTATGATTCTATGATCAGCAGTAGTCCCATTTTGGAAGAACTTGTGAGATGAATACAGTGTGCTCTAAATCTGAATTTATGAATGTTTTGGGGTTTTGTTCGTTGGTTGTCTCTCTTCAGCTGCAAGAAAAAGCGTGACATTTAAGGAAATCAAGAACATTTAAGAGCATCAGTTTGACAGGTTTTATGGCACCTCTTATATGTGATATTGTTTCCATTTGGGGCTGAAGAGCCCTTTTTGTCTTGAATCATTTCACTCCTGTCTGTTTTCTCTCCCACAGCTGACAGCTCTCATTTGTGGTTTCATTATCAAGCTGAGGAACTGCCTGCACGATGATGGTTTTCTAAGACAACTCTACACTATTGGCTTGCTGGCGCAGTTTGAGAGCCTGCTGAGCACTTATGGTAAAGGCAAATGGCAAGCTGGTGGTATTAGCTGTTGAGTCAGCAAATTCTGCTTTAAATTGGCTGCAGCAGAACATGAGTGTTTGGGACAATCTGCAGCTCAGCTAAAAATTATTTTGAAAACTGAAATGCAAAACCAGACTATATCTGGAGTACTTAATTAGCTAACAACTCTGAATTTCTTTGCATTTAATTGAATTACTTCTAAAAGATAAAGTGTACTTGCCGTATAATATAATGTCAAAGGTTTTTAAAAAATAAAAGTATCCTGTTGATAATTTTTTCAGAAAATAAATGGATTAAAATTACATTAAGCTGAGAGAAACGGTGCCCAAAATATGGTTTTTAAATTTTCTTGTCCTCCTGTAATCCTACAGAACAAAGTAAGTGAATCCAGAATAAACTGTAACTGTTCCAACACACTTTTCCAACACAAAAGGTATCATGGCTGTTGTCCTGCTTTCGGCTGGGATAGAGTTAACTTTCTTCATATTAGCTAGTAAGAGGCTGTTCTGAGAAGTACTTCCTAACATCATCTAAATTGGAAAATCAGCATATAATCTACTTGAAGAACAGTACTCTGGACTATGCTAGATAATTGGTGTTTTCTAAACCTGCTAAAAAATAAGTCAATCATCACGTTGTCTGCGGTCTGTAAGTCAAGGTGAAGGCCTGGGCTCCAGAGCCTCTTTGTCCGTAGAACTTCTTTGGGAGTGATGACCTACAGTAGTCATCAGATTGATAAAGGGAAGTTGTATGTAACAAATAATTATTATGAATCACTTTTTCCTTCTTCACTTAGGTGAGGAGTTGGCAATGCTGGAGGACATGAGTTTGGGAATCATGGACTTGAGGAATGTAACCTTTAAAGTAACTCAGGCCACATCAAATACATCTACTGACATGCTGCCGGTCATCACTGGAAATCGGTAAAAAAAAAAGCAGAGGGGGGAAGAGCAGGAAGTGGAGTAGAACTGCAGATGGGAGAAGCAGTGATACTGCACTTGAAATGAATTATGTGCTTTTGTACTGTGCTGGTTTTCTCCCCAGAACTTCAAAGAAATGTTTTGAATTGGATTTACTCATTTTTACTGACGTATCATTTTGCAGGGAGCTAAGCTGAAAAGGGATCTATGGCAAGGCTCAAACCATGGCAGTATTGTTCTATGAATAGATATCTTGACCTAGCCTTCCACAATCATAAGCCAGAAGTATTCACTCTTTTCTTAAACACTTGTGCTGTTTTTAAATTTCAGACTGACTTTTCAGGCTGATCTAATTGTCTGAAATTCACTGCTGGTGATCAGTGCTTTACTGTGTGCCACTGAGTAACGGGCCGGCATTAGCATAATGGGGCATGGAACGTGTATCGGGCAGTTAATGGGATGCTGCTGAGGGGAGGCCTATATAGGATCAATTTCCAAACTATCAGGGCCAAGCTGGCTTTAATTTATGGATGTTTGTGAAACACCAGACTGCTGCTCCTTTTGGACACTTGTCTGAAAAGAAATATTTTCAAGTTTGAGGTTAAAAGCAATTTTTGTTTTAAAAGTCTGAAGTAACAGTCACATCTTCACATAAAGTGGAGTGGGAGTGATCTCTTACAGATTTTTTATGATGGGAAGCGTTTACAACAAACAGAGTCACACTTCAGTTTGAATGCCTCAGCCTGCTTATCAGCTGGCCTCGCACTGGTTTCTGACATGAGGCTGATGGGCCTCTGCAATAGAGTTCTTGCCTAGAGGGAGCCAGGTCACAGATGGGGATGAAGCTTTGGAAGGACAGAGGCCTCACAAAAGTCAGTGTTTTAATGTTTCTGTATTTCAGAGTCTTTTGAATCTTTTAGTTTCAAATACAATTTCTGGAGAAAGTAAGGCTTATTCAATTGCAGTGTGCTGTACCAGGCTCCACTGGAGCTCTGCCTAGCTTTGTCCACATCTCAAAAAGAGCTAGAATTGTCAAAGATAGAAACGTTAGAGCAACTTTGTTAAGTTAAGGTTCACATGCAATGAAAAATACCCTGGCTGAAGGAGATCTGCAGTACAATCATGTGTGTATGTTATGGAAACTGTTGAGACCTGTGGAAATGGCTGTGGAAATGACAGCTGACAGAAAATTCCTTTAAAAGAAAATCTTTAGTTGAAACTTGCCATCAGCTTTAGGACATTAATCAGCAGGATCATTAGTTTCAAGTCTGATAGAGTTGCTTATTATTTTGCTGTCTAGATTTTGCTCAAGAAAGAGAAGAAAGAAATAATACATATTTATTTTTGTGCGAACTATTGGAAGCTTTACATTTAGAAGTAAAAATAGGTTTTTTGCTTTCAGATATAGCATAGGATTTTGATGTCCATCCAATGTAAATGTGGGACAGACCAATTTTAGTTACCTTATTATATACTTCTCAGAGCTCTTTCGCTATACTTGAGAGTGTATGCAGCACTTGAGAGTCGTGCACTGTAAAGACTAGGATGTAACACCAAGGTGCTGCTGCTGATAGGTTAACACACAACACACAAATCTCAGTAACTTGTGTCTTGGCAGTTCCAGCACAGGGTAATGCAACATACCTTAATCTGCATGGATGTTATGGGATAAGATATGTTGCGTTACCTCATGTTTGCCATGAGATAAAGCCTACACAGTGCTCTTTGCTGTAACTCAGCTGACCCAAGGTAACCCGTTGTGCTGTAGGAACGGCTTGTACATCTGAGTCATTAGGTTCTGTATCAGTGCTTTTGTTAGCTCTCCCTTCAATTTATGCTTGGGTCACTACTATCATTGGCTCTGTCCTTCTGGTCAGAAATGTCACTGCTACTTACTGTATCCAAAAATGTATCCTTTTATGTATGTGCATCATCACTAGTATTTATAACTTTAAAATAAAATATAGTTTACTTTTGATGAGATGGGGACATGCCAAAATTTGACTTTTTTCTACCCAAGTCGTACAAGAGCTGCAGTATTAATGAGGAGAGCAAAATCAGCTCTTGTCAGGAAATCAGCAGATCTGATTGAAATGTCCATGAGGATGTAAAAGCAACATTACAAGTTGCTACAGGTTTGTTTTTGAACTAGAATAGCTTTTCTGATAAGGAGTAAGCTGTGGCAGTTCCTTGAAGTCCTCAGTTTTGACTGATACTTATTTTTTAATAGTCGCATTATACTCTAGATGTTATTCCTCTTTACATAAATGACACATTCTTGGAATGTATCTTTTTGATCTTTACATCTAAAAGCTGTTTATTTATTTGCAGTGATGGATTTAATGTGAGGATCCCCTTGCCAAGCGCCTTGTTTGATTTGTTGCCACGAGAGATTCAAAGTGGGATGTTACTGAGGGTTCAGCCTGTTCTTTTCAATGTGGGAATCAATGAGCAGCAAACCCTAGCAGAGAAGTATGTATTCAGTCATGCAAGCTCAACCTTAATGGCAGTTCAGCAATCTGATGGAAGTATGTCTCTAAGGAGTTGCACTGTTGCATTACTAACAGTGATTCAGTTTCTCCAATACACGAACAAGGGAATATTAAATTAAGTTGTCAAATGCAAAACAAACAAAAGGAAGGCCTTCATATGGCACATAGCTGTGGAGCTCCTTACCTCATGGGTTTGAGTCTAGTGCAGGTTTATGTGGTTCAAAAGTTAATTTACTGAAGAGGATCATGCGGTTAAATACCATAATGCAGTATTTAACACAGAGGTGCTGCTTGTGACTCAAGACCTCTGTGAGTGACAGATCACTAGAAGCTGAGAGATCATTCTGAGTATTGCTGTGTATTTGCCCTCTTGGTTTTGCATTCTCCCCTACACTCCCTCTTCTGGCTACTGTCAAAAACCAAGATAATGCGCTAGATGGATTTTTGTTTTAACATATCATTGCAGTACTTATGTAATGCAACACTGTTCTTGTAAAGCTGAAAAATATAATTATGTAATTATATTTGCTAGGGAATCTGTTCAGTTTCAGAAGAGCCACCAGAGCTTCCCTCTGTTATGGCCTTATCCTGTCAAGAATACATTGACAGAGCACTGCTCTAATGGAGAACTCCAGTGAAGTCAGGCACACAAGTGTCGTGACAGCAGCCTTGGTACCCAGGTGGAGTGTGCAGTATGATGGTGGACAACTAGAAAAAGTCTAACAAAGGCATTCCAGCAGTTACTGTTGTCTTCTGTTGCCTATAAAGGGAGCCCAAGGTGACTAGCATAGTTACAGATGTCAACACTGTGTGTGCATATGTATGTATGTAGATATAGTTAGATGAGATGAATCATGGTTTTGTTGACAATATTTATTACATTCATGGTTTATTACTCTTACATCCATATTTCTCATTTACATATCTGAAGTAACAGTTTTCAATCCTATGTACTAATGTTATGGTTATTTATTAGCTTATGAACTAAACTAGTAAATCCATTATTAAAAGTTATAATTTTGGCAAATTGATTTAACAGATGGGTATTTAATATTGAAAGAGAGACACAAAAGCTGAAGAATTTTAAGTACTATTTTCTACAAGATTTTTCTTTCACCTTCCTTCCCACTTTTCCCCTCACACTCATATATTTTCTTTTTCTGTAAGGAATCACTACAGCATTTCTCTGTTACACTTTACTCTATATTTGAATGGTTAGGAGTTTCATGGGATGAATAAACTGTTTTCTGGTAGTCATGTTGCCAAGTGCAGTTGTTTCAAAGAAGAGGAGAGACCTTCTACCTTGGGCTTAACTGTTCCTTTCTTCACCTTTTAAAGGTTTGGAGACACCTCACTGCAAGAAGTAATTAACATGGAAAGCTTAGTGCGGTTGAATTCATATTTTGAGCAGTTCAAGGAAGTTTTGCCTGATGATTGTAAGTATTTGTTAATTAATGGCAAATTTGTCTGAACAGCACAATTCAGGCTGATATTTTAATTTGTTTGCTTCATGTTAGTTGTTTACATGTTGAAGATGCACCAGCATTAGTAACCTCCAAGAAATGATGCAACTCTTTTTTAATACATCAATACTAAGTAGAGCAGATTCAAGGGGTTTAAAGGTCAGTCTGATTAACTTTCCTTTTTAAATTTACCACTCTTTCTAAATGGCATTATGTACTGTATAAACATGCATCTAGGCAGTTAGATTGCTGTGAGGGGAAGGCATAAAAATGCCAAGTCATAGCAGCAGCACTTTTATGTGCAGTTTTTGGTCATGTTCTCTGTACTTATGATAACCTGCACAGAGAACTACTGACAGTTTTTAGGAACTTAATCACTTTCCTTCTGCTTATCCTTTGGCACTTGCCTACAATTGTTGCATGTGCAGGCAGCAACAGAGAAGTCTAGCACCTGGAAGAGAGACAATAGCTACAAGCTTGAATTTTACTGATTATATAGGAATATTTCTTGCTTGTTAGTTTTTTTTTGGGAGGCAGTGGCATAAATGCTATTTACATGTGATAAAAAAAGGTGAAAGTTCATTGATTCACTATTACTAGTATCAAACCTCTTGTAACCTAATTTCATGGGTCCCACAATTGCAGTTTTATTGCAGAAATACAAATGCAGCAACATATAACAGGATAGTTATATATTATTGTACTCTCAGTTACCCTTTTTTTTTTTTTTTTTTTTTTTTTTTTATGCATCTGAGAGCAGAAGCTGTTTCACTCCTTCCAGGCATTCATAATCTTCCACAATTAATTCTCTCAATTTTTAGCTGCAAAATTTAACTTGTTTATTATATAGTGGTCTAGCCTCAGACTTTCTTGTAAAGTTCAAAAGTTAATCAACTTAAAGTGATTTTTATTCTGCTTTTCTCCCCATTACTTCATGTCTCTGTCCATAGTCTTCAATAATAATAGTTCCCATTCAGCTCCTTCCTCTCCTTAGATTTTGCTCACTTTTTTTTTTACTTCAGTCTCTTTCCTCATCCCCAAACCTCTTATGTTGATCCAATCATCTTTTAGCTTTTTCCTTTTCTCCTGAAATTTCTTTTTTTATCCTGCAGTCTCTTTTCTGTTCTGTCATTTGTTCCTTCTCTTTCCTTTTTTTTGAACTCTGTTTTAACTTTATGTTTATTCTCCTCTATTTTTAAAGAGCACTGGTGCCATGACCTTGAGTTTCTCCTTTACCAGTAGCACACCTTATACCAGAGGTTTTTTCTTCAAGTAACTTGAAGTTGTGAATAAGGTTGGCGTGCAGTGTTGGATGGGTGGCATTAACGTGCATCTTAACAGTGAAAGAAAACCAAATGTGTCCACTTGCCTTTTCTCCCCTACTCAGATGACTTGTCATTACATTGATCCCTGTCACATGAAATGAAAACCACAAAAGAGGAAAATCCACTTTTTGCCAAAACTTCCTTCTGCTTCACTGTTTGTCCTGAGTAAATGCAAACATATTGTACCTGGTTTTGCAATACAGCTTGGACAAATGGTTTGTGTTTATAAACATTAAGCAAAAGTTTTTATCAGAAGTGTGAAAAAAAAAAAAAAAAAAAAAAGCAAGTGTCCCAGCAGGTGTGTTAGAGATGCTTTGTGAAAAGCTGAGACTATGGACAAACCTGGGACTGTGCTTGTCATAAGGAAGGTCTGAGGGTGTGTTTTGTGCCTCCTCTGTGATGATATTTAGGACGTACAAAGTGAAAAATACTTTTCGTGAACCCTTGCCAAGAGAGAATAACATTTTACATTTAACTATAGAACGGGTGGTTATTATGACCAGCCTAGTGGTGTAGTGGTACGTACAGGTGAAACGAAAACCAAATGGATCATTTTCAGGGACAGGAGGCCCAGTGAAGTATCTGCTGGCAGCCTGTAGGAAGTGTTCCCTTCAAGAACAATACACAAGGAAAGCTGATTCCTGATCCGCTGTCCTTGTCCCTGTGCTCTTAATTCTATGTGCTGAGTAATTTCTAAGAAGTTAATTACTGTCTTAGCTTCGTTAGCTCCTTGTCCTTGTTCCATTAGCTCTCCTTGTCTTTAGAAATACTTGGGGAGATGGTCTGTGCCCTCTCTATTCTTTACAGGTATTACTTTCTTTCTAGGTGTAGACTTCAAGCAGAGCAGACCAGGATAGGCACAATATTGCTAACATACTATTTGCGATTAGAGATGTGATCCAAAACCTTATATATCACCAATGTGGGGTTTTTTTGTCACAGTCATTTTTAACAGTGTGTACCTCCTTATTTATCCAGTCACAGCTTTAGTTGGTGTCCTCTAGTTACCCCTTAAAAAAAGAAACAAAAGACCTATTTAATACTTGTCATTGATTGTCTCGAATATCTTGCTACATATGTAAGAAATTATGTGTTACCATTTGAACATATGACTATTGAGAGCACTCTGAAATATTGAAAAATTTCAACTGATTTCCACTTAGTGAAATATTAATAAACTGATTGTGTCAGTGCAGTGTCCTGTTGGAGAGAGTGTTTTATGTAACTGAAAACTGGCCAGCTTGCAAATTTAGAATTGAAAATGTGAGCAGAATATAAAATATCTTCAGAGTTTCTGTGGAGGCATGCATCGTATCCTATCACCTCTGAAAGGCTATAATATAGGCAGTTAAATGTTTAGATATAGTTCTGAACAGCGTGAGAAAGCAAGTATGTCTGTGACACACAAACCAAGACATTATACCGATCTTGCTCGCTTCATCACTGTTATATTGCTATCAGATTCTGAGCCCCTGGAGTTTAAAATAAACTGCATGTATATTTCCAGTTGAGTTTAATTAAACTTGAATTTGTTTGGTTGGTGGTACTAAGTAATTAAGAATTGGATTAATTGTTGTAAGCTTTGATAGTTTCAGGAAGACACTACTGTGTTTGCAACAGGCATATAGGAACACTTTCCATGTAACTTATCGTTGCAAAAGTGTTGAATACAGATAAATAAGTGGAGTTGGTTTTGTTTGTTTTATAGGTCTACCTCGATCTCGTAGTCAGACGTGCCTGCCTGAACTGTTAAGATTTCTGGGACAAAATGTACATGCAAGGAAAAATAAGAATGTTGATATCCTTTGGCAAGCTGCTGAGGTATTTATTAATCTAGGCATCTCTGCATAGTTCGGTTGATTTTCTGCATGCATATGTACTTTCCCCTTTTTTATTACTGATATGTTCAAATTTCTTCATTTGCTTGCATGTAGCTTGGAAATGCAGCTGGGTTAAACCTCCTCTAGAATGAGACTTGGAGAGATAAAATGTATTTTCCACATTAGTATTTTCATTCATGTAATGAAGTTTTGCTCTCTCAACGATGACAACTTTTGACATCAAAGTCCTACACAGCATTTGTGTGTCTCTAAGGAGAAGTACAGGTGTATTCTCTTGACAGAAGGTTATGCATGAGGAAGGAATGATGAATTGTATATCTCATTTCTAGATATGCCGCAGACTAAACGGTGTTCGATTTACAAGCTGTAAAAGTGCCAAGGATAGGACTGCCATGTCGGTCACCCTAGAGCAGTGTTTGATCCTACAGCATGAACATGGAATGGCTCCACAGGTCTTCACCCAGGCTCTGGAGTGTATGAGGAGGTAAGAGTTTAACTGTGTCACTTACTCCTAAATGAGGAATCATGCAAACTGCAGAGGAGTAATGGTCTCTGTTTCAATCAAAAGGAAAAGTAAAATAAAGCCAGAAAACTACAAAACTGGCTGCTAGAATTCATCCCTCCCTTGCATGTATTAGTAAGTGAGTTGCATATGCTAAAGCTGGTTGTTACCAGATTTGGATCGGATGGGCTTTAGTTTTCATCAGTGAATCGGGAGTTTTCAGAGAAGCATGTGAAAACATGTTTTCAGTTAATGCTGAGCTTACAGAACAGGAACCTGGTGCTTCTTTCAAAGTTGTTCAATTATGAGTTTACCTGAACTGCCAGAGCACTGGGTTTCTTAGTTCTAGATCAGGCACATTTCTCAGGGATGACCTCTCTTTTGTTCTTGGAAACACAGACACCTGCAGTTTGCACTGGTTTACCACGTGTATTCTTTATCGGTGAAACACTGCTCACTGGGCAAAAAGTCAGTATGAGTGTTTCACAATATAGCAACCAAATTTCATCACAATGTGTCAATGTGCTGTTGTCATATCAATATAATGATGTTCTGTATTCTGAAGCAGCAGAGATGTTTGCAGAATTAAATACTATACTTAAAAAATATATATATATATAATCTGTTTACTGTTGTTCAATGCCTTGTTTCAAGCACTGCTGGAAAACTCCTTAACTCACATACCAAAAGAAAGGATAAGAAATCTAGCTTTAGTCTTTATCAATGTAGTTCAACAATGCTGTTCAGTCCTGTTTTTCAACATTCACTCTTACTGAATGTACTGTACTGTGTGTCTTCTCACCAAATTCTCTAGAGTGTTCAATTCTCTTATCCTTTCTGTATGTTTTTGCTGTTTGACCCTTTCTTACTCTTCAGTTATCTAGAAGGAAAATGTCTCATGTAATAACACTCGCAGCCTCTTACAGTAATAATTTTGTGTTTATATCAACATCTAATTGGACGTCACTGGACTTTCTTATTGTCACTTTTTTGCTGCACTTTTTGCTGTGCTGTTACAGAGTTGGTACAGTACCTGAAAACTGCATTCAGAGAGTAGTTAAACTTTGGTATTAGTAACAAAGCTTGGAACAGCTTTTTGAGGGAGAAGTTATTAACTTAAAATTAAGCTAAGTGGCTCTCAAATGTCTCTATTTAAATTATATAACTTGTCAACTTAGACATCTGAGAGAAAAAAAAGCTTTGTTGCACAGTTTTTTTGTTTACTAAGAATAAAAACTGAATGAGTATTAATACTAGGAATCTTGTTATTTTCTTAATTAGTTACTGAGTTAATTTTTTTTTTTAATACAGTCATGGACACAGTAGAGGCAGAGGTTAACACTAACATTGTTTTGGACCTTCAGACTATTAATTTAATATAACACAAGATCAGATAAAATATTGACCCAAGAAACACATTGCTTAATGTTGATCTACAGAGGGATATTGAAAGAGGGCCAATTTAATCAAAACCTTTGGCTCATGTGTTCCAGCAACATCAGGATCTTGTTCTAGACAGGTGAAAGACATTACTTTCTCCTCTTCTGTTAAATCTTTGAGTAAGAGAGATCATGCAGAACAAATACTGACTAGTCCTCCTGAAGGAGTACTAAGATTAGACAATTCTTCAAGCCCATCACTCTATCTTTCTCACATCTCGTTGCTCTTTGGGGTAGGTAGTTGTGTTTTTTAACATAATTCGCCAATTCTGCTTGGGAACAATGGCACAGAATTAACAAAACTTAAACGTCAGGATTGCGGGACAAATATGTAGGAGTCAAACTCCACCCAAACTCATTTCAGCCTGGACAGGATGACCTGATCTAGACAACAGACACAGGAAGTGAGAGAGTTGCAAATTACTTCCAGGGCATTCATAAAACCTACTTTTTCTTTTAACTTGAACTTTTTATTTGTGTAATTGTACCAGGAAAGGCAGGCTTGGTTCATTCTTGAAGACTTCTGAAGTTTCTGGGGCAGTTGGAGGACAGGGAAAAACTACTATTAAATTGTAGGGGTCAAAGAAAGTATTTAATCTCTTCTCTACTGGTAACTTTCCAGAGAAGAAAAGCATCCTTGCTTACACTTGAAAAATTAAGAAAGCACCCTCTTCTTCCACATGACATTGGTCTTCAGAGGTGTTAATTGCCACTTACTCATCCTCAGGGACTTCCTAGTCTGGTGATAATTATGTGTCCATGATAATTATGTTCAGTGAACTGTGGACATCAGGGAGAGATCATTGAGTGTTTGTTGTAGATTCTTGTTGAAATTCAAAGATCCAAGTTGGTTAACCTGTCTTAAGAATAAAATTGTTGTGGGATGACCTTGGCCACCTGCCGGATGCCCAACCAGCTGTGCTCTCTCACTCCCCCTCCTCAACAGGACAAGGGGAGAAAATATGATGAAAAAGCTCATGGGCTTGAGATAAGGACAGGGAGATCCCTTGCTGGTTACTTACTGTTACAGGCAAAATAGACTCAAGAGAAAATTAATTTATTGCCAACAGATTTGGATGGTAAGAAAGACAAAGATTAAACACCTTACCTCCACAACCCCTTTTGTCCCAGGCCCAAGTACTTCACTCCTTCATTCCCAACTCCCTCTACCTCCTCCCCACAGTGAGCAGTGCCCATGGGATGGGGAACAGGGGTTTGTGGTCAGTCCATAACAGCTTCTCTCTGCTGCTCCTTCCTCCTTGCATTCTTCCCCCACTCTAGTGTGGGTCCTTCCCATGGGCTGCAGTCCTTTGGGAAATATTCACCTGCTCCACCGTTGGGTCCTCCACGGGCTGCAGTGTGGGGATCTACTTCACCATGGTGTTCTCTATGGCTGCAGGGGAATCCCTGCTCCAATGCCTGGTGCACCTCTGTCCCTCCTTCTTCTCTGACTTTGGTGTTCACAGGGCTGTTCCTCACATCTTTTCCCATCACTCCTCACTGCCATGCAGTGTTTTGCCTTTTCTTACAGACACTTTCCCCAAGGCACCATCATGGTGGCTGCGGGGCTCAGCCGTGCCCTGCAGTGGGGCCATTGGAGCCAGCTGGAACTGGCTGTGTCTGGCACAGGGCCGCCCCAGCTGCTCCTCACAGAGAGAATTCCCATATGCAAGCTTGATTATCAGGGAATTTGCTCTGCCTCTTTACCCTGGTCCTCTCCTAGAGGTAGTCTGCCCATTAACGTTTTGATATGAGACACCGTACAAGTTGGTATATCTGGTATTTCCAAAAGGTGACTTGCTACCCTGCTCTGTGAAAGAATCTACATGGGCCAACAGTGACAGGGAAAGCACTTTCCAGCTCTTGTCTGCATTGCCACTGTATGTGTCTGTGCATATGTCTTTGCGTAAAATTGAGTGCTTGATACTAATTTTTAATGGTAGAGTTATGGCATGTGATGTTCATAATGTCACCTTGTCATTTTGAGCCTTTCTTCCTTCTTTCCCTCCCCCATTGTTTTACTTCCTTTTGTATAGCCTAAAACACTTCTTCCAGACTATGCCGCTGAGCCTTTATCCACCACTTTTCAGTCAACATTGGCTTTTACTGATTCTCCTGATGACACCATTCCCCACCCCCCTGCTGCAAAGATAATTGGGATTTGTAGACATAACAGACTCGATCTGCCCTTATCCAGTGTAGGCACCAGGAGTGAAAATCTATTTTGATCACCAATTTGGGTATGGTAATCCAGATCAGAAACACAGTTGGCTTAGTTCCCTGCCCACCTAATTCCATTTGACTTGAAGTGTTGCCAGCATCTGAAGGCTCTCTTTTTCTTTCACCACGTCCAGGGTATCTCTTCCAAGACGTCTGTTCGTTACGTAACCTTGCTACGCAACCAGCAAGGTTATGTATCACCTTTTACCGCTGGAGTGAGTGCACTTGTTCTATCAGGATCAGGCTCACAAGTTGCATTTAGTTGTTGCTTTGTAAACTAAATATAGAATTGGACTGCACAGGGTGTAAGAGTGATCCAAAATGAAACACCGCTCTACAAAGCCTCAGGTTAGCTGAAGAGGTATTTACCACTATAGGCCTGTAGTGCTCAAAAAAATGTGGGAAGCAGGGTGTAATGAGATGGGCTGCACAGCATACCTCGCCTTCACATGCATATATTGAGGTACTTCAGAAACATGCATTTTGGAAAGCGTATTGATACACACTTGAATTCATCTTGAAGCAGGGAAATAAGTGGGTGGTTTGGGGGTTTCTTGTACATACTGAGCAGGTAGTTAAGAGGTTAAATTATTTCACTTCAGCCTACATGGAAAGATGTTTGAAAGGGTCAAATACTACAATGGTTATTCATGTTCAGCTTGCTTTTCAGAGCTCCACTTCTTTGCAGCATGCAAAAGCATGGCAGAGCAGCATGGGATATTATTGCTTGGTAATCTGAAAGAATGAACATGGAAAACCATTTATGTTCAACCTACATGTGTTTATTTTCAGTAGACTACAGTACTTCTTTCTTATTTTTCTCTTTTATTCTCCTTCCCTCTCCTTATTTCTGTAATTATACTGATACATATTTTTGAGATGTTTTTCCACTCTTTCTTTACTTCATCTTCTGGTTTTGTTGTGCATTCTTCCATGTTTTTTCATTTTCTTGACCACCTTGTGTTGCCATCTCTTTTTATACATTCATTTGCATGTCCGTCTTCCTTTCTATTTTATTTTTCCTCCTCCCAACCTTCTTCCTTTTCACAGCATTGGAACACGGGAGGTAGTCACCCAGAAGAACTTGAGTGGCTTGGTGCCCATCCGAGATTTCAGACTAGATCCCAGCCTCCTCTACTCTATTCCTTTACTAGCTCTTAGCCCCAATTTACTGATTGTGTGGCTGTTTCTGAGCATAGCATACCTGGTGGCCAGATTACGTTGCAAGTGAAGATAAGGTTAAAAACAAAAACAAAAAGTGCTTGAATGTGTATCGCCACTTGGTACCTGCTGGACAAAGGAATGTGTCATAGCATTGTCTGCCAAGAATTATTATTATGCCTTACAATCTTACGTTTCTATTGTACTAAACTGTAAATATACATCAAATTATTTTATCAAAAAGAATTGTATTGAAACTTTAAATTATTGTTCTGCTTTCAGTGCTTGTAACATAGTCTGACATTGGCCTGTTACCTCGTTACTTTAGCTGGCCTGAAGATCTCTTACCAAATATAGTTTTGTGTTACCTGTTTCATGTATTCCAGAGAAAGGAACTCTGAAAAGAATTTGTATCTTTTTGTATATTTAAGGTGTATGCTAATCTTGCCTTTCATTTTTACAAGGTATGAAGAGAAAAATAAAAACATGGGTGGGGTTTATAAGAAATTGTAAGAAATTTATTTAAAGAAATAAAACAAATTTCTACCTTTGTTTCAAAGCATAATATCCAAATTACTTTACTGAACAGTCTGTAGAATCATAGTCTTGTTCCTTTCTCATGGTTAAGTATGCTCTAATAGACTAGTGTACCCACTCAAAAAACAACTTGTGGTGCACTGCATGCAGAATTTTTGTTCTATTTGTAGATCTGCATTTTGTAATGTATTAAAGACATAAAGAGAATGACTTGTGGTTAGGAAGAGGATGTAATTGGCATTAGCCCGCTAATGATCCATTATCTGTTTCAGGTGCTCTGTTATAGAATTTATTCTGAAACAGGGTCATTATCATCCTAGAAGTCAGAGATATTGTTCTTTAATATTTCAGGGAAGAAGAGGGAGGTGTCAGTTAGCTCCTTCAGTACGAGGGTTTGAGGTTTTCCATTGGGCTTTGTTTTAATTATACTAGAATAAATATTACTGTTATTTCCATTTTTAAGTGTTGGATAGCTTTAATAAATTATGATGTTGATAATGACTTAGAGATAAACGAATGATGGTAAGTTAACATTTATTTAAGTGGTGAGACTAAAGCGACTTACCTAGTTTAGTCATGCAGAAGAATTGCAGATGAAATTTGATCATCATTTATATATAACATCAAACTGAGAGAGGCCTATTTCAACTGAAAGATTTTGTTGATGCAGTCAACTGTCAGAGCTTGTCAATAGCAAGAGCTGATAAAAAAAAATAACCTCATTTAACATAGTTTGCTAAATTCATGAAGGGATTTTCTTCGCTTTGTGCCTGAGATGACAGAAGATTTGGCTTCTGAGGAGAACTCTTCTAGTACTGTGATTTCTATTTTCTATTGTTATTAACTCGCTCAGAAAACATAGGTAGCCATAGCTTTTATTATCCATTTTAGTGGAATTTGAAAGCTGAGAGAGGTAAGCTTAAAAAAAAAAAAAAAGAAAAAAAGCACAGTTAGAATAAAATCCTAAATTTGGTGAATATTCTAACTAAAAAAAAAAGTGGTTATATTTGTGTCTTTGTGAAATCAGACTGTACAGTACACTATCTTCTGGTATTTTTCCTCAATATTATTCCAATTTTGTTTCTAAAATAAAAAAAACCAGAAAAATATATTTATACACATATATATACACATTTAAGCACGTATCCTATTTAATTTTAGTTGCAATGAATTTAGGTGAATCCTTACTGCTGATGAAATTTAAAATCATGGTATGCTGGTATTGGACATATCCATGTCCTGTGCTGATATCTAGTACCACTGTGTCTCTGTACAAATCATCTCTTCTTTCGGATTAACACTGGTTCATTTGCTATGGGTACCAAAATCTACCTTTTTACAAAATGAGCAAATGTCAGGTTGGACTGTAGCCTTGTTCTTGCAGTGTGATGAGTGTCCTGGGTTCAGTCTAACAAGATGCAAAAGTAACTTTAGTAGGCGTATCTCCACTGAACTCCCTGAGATTATTAGTCTGTTTAAATAAAGTGTGAAGGCTTTGCTCATGACTGTCATCAGGGTTGCAGTAAGACCACCCTTAAATTCATCTAGAATGGAAACCTAGTCTTTTGAAAACTGTTGTTTTTCTCTTTTTTTCTTAAGCTTTGGCAGGGACAAGTTTTCATCTCTTTTTCTTTATTAGATTGGTCTGTGCTTTTGTTCAGGCATTCAGATTTAAAATGCTGTAGTGCGTACTGCTTATGTGCCTCCAGCAGAAGAAACATCGCACATGAAATGTGTGAAATACATCTTTGTCACCATCTTTACTGGCCACCTGTGCTATAGAGGGACATGTGCAATAACCAGACACAGTGGAATGGATTATGAACAGAATTATTCACTTTGGAGTGAAAATGCTCATCCACAATCCCATATGTGCTATTTGAACCTATTTTTTTAATAGTACTCTGAACTGTATTTTGTGCAAATTTTTGATGAATCTATTTGACTGCCACAGCCTTTGGGGGAATTCTGTAAAATACAAAAAAATGACATAAAAATAGTGTCGTCATGTACGATCCACTCGATAAAAGACAGTCACAGAATGTGCTCTGGAGACAAATTTCAAACTTAAACTGTTTCTCAGAGAAAAAAGTTACAGTGTTTTATGAAGTTAAAATGGGTGGTACATAGAGAACACTGTTACAGTCCGTTTAATTAACCAACATGAGAAGAATGGTGAGGTCCATAAGAGCAGAGAGCTTTCAAACTGAACCCAATCCAAACCCTCTTTTTGAATCAGATGACCACAGTTTACCTGAAAGATGCTGCAGCTGTCTCCAAGACAGGAATAACGTGACATTTCCGCCATAAGATGGTGTACTGTACACTTTGCTGTGAAATTTTACTATTCACTGTTTAGGTTTCAGTTCTCTATCAGGGAAAGGCATTCTCCTGCAAGCCTAAATTGATTTGTAACATATATTTAAAAGATAGTGCTTCCTTTCTGTGCATCTGTTTCTAGATATAGTCAAAGGAATTCTGAAGTAGATTTACAAGTGTAAAGAAGCCTTATAACTGGAGTATTTTTTTATTGTATCACAGAACCTCTTTGTAGTGTGGGACAGTTGCACGAAAACATTGGGTAAACATTAAATTCTGCACAGCTTTGTTTCATTGGGGTGATGACTGTCAACACAGCCAGTCTTTTTTGAACCCACACAAAGCTGCTGTTTCACTATTAAGATTATTTTTTTATGTTGGTTTTCAAGTCGATTTATGCATGCGGAGATAACTGGAAAGTCATTATTTTTGTATCAGCTCTAATCTTTAAGTAAGTACTGGTAATAATGACATACAGGGAACAAAAAAGTTACTTTAAAGCTCTTATTGAGAGATCAACAGTTTTTCTTTTTCAGCTTAATATACTAATAAATTAGCAGAACTGCCTGTAAGCAATCTCTTGGGATCCCTTGCGCAATGAAGCGGCATGTGAACTCTACAACAGTGTACCCTGAAATACATGAAACCATAGTGAAAGAACTTTTTCAGTAGATCCACTGCTGCTTTTTAGAAATGCAAAACTAGCAATCAGACATAGCATGTATCCATTCTGTGTGCTTCTTACTAGCATTGTATGATGAGTCATCATTTTTAATATTTGCAGTGGCAAATTAATTAAACGCTCATTAAATATAACCAGCTTTTTGTTAATGCTATAAAATAACCAGTTCATTTCATCTTAGTTTAAGTCTTCTTTTTTTTTATTATTATTTTTCCTTTTTACTGCTGTCATTTTTTGTGCTTGTTTTTTTTCCCCAGTGAGGGTTGTCGGCGAGAAAATACTATGAAGAATGTTGGATGTCGCAAGTATGCGTTTAATTCCCTGCAACTGAAGGCTTTCCCAAAGTATTACAGGCCTCCAGAAGGAACTTATGGAAAAGTTGAAACATAAGCATACTATGTCCTTTAATTGCTGTTCCATTAAAACATGTGGATACACTCTAGATTACTACATGATTTTGTCATCCAGAAGAGATAAAATAACCTTTTTTGTACGTTTCAGTAGGTTATACAGAGCATGTTACTTACAGAATTGGAATCTATAGTAACAATTATCTTGACACCTTAGCTTGAGAATAGTGTGATGACTCTGCCCATTTAAATAGCCTTCAGTGTATGTAAGATGAACAGATATTGTGCTACTTAATAATTACCTATATGCAAATTGCTAGGTATCTCCTGGATGGGCAAGGACTCTAGGAACGGCATTTAGGCAGCTGTTTCACATAACATCTTTTTATACTGAGTTGACTTGAGATTGAGCTTTTCATAAACTTTTTAAAACTGAGAGTAAAACTCAAAAGTTGTAAATAAAAATTAATTGGATCCTAGACAGTCTAGTAGCTGTAGAATGCATTGTTACAATCAAGAAACAGAAGTTTAACTTAAAAAAAGCAGCACAATAAAAGCCAGGAGTATAAATTGTTTTACTGTATTATAGGATGCCATCTTCATATATGAAATAAACAATACATAAAAGGCCAGGCCTAAGAGGTCTAGTTTCTAGCGCTGGCCAAATAAAACAAATTCCTGTTGTATTTGGCAGCTAAGGACTTGGATACACTTCTTAACTGATTTTTAAAAGTGTTTCAGAAACCTGATGATGCTTAACCATTAATGCCAGCAACAGTTGCCCCGCCCTTCCCCACTATAAGGCAAGTGCAACAAGCACCTTGCTAGTTTTGCATGTGATAGGTTCAGTATATTCCATGGTATTATCTATTAATTAAGACATTTTTACCCATGGCTTTTTATATCACTTCTGGATTGTAAGCATTAGTATCTTGGGGGGTTACATTTTTTTGATTGGCGAATTTTGTATGTCAGTACAAAAATACTTAAGTGCCCAATGCATCCCCGTGACTCCATAAACAAAACTGGTTTCTGTTCACCTTTGCATTTTATCTGGGCAGATGTTCAGAATCCTGGGGAGGAAGTATGACTGTTTTCAGAGTATTTCTGAGGAAGGTAGCAATGCCCTGTTTTGATAGAAAGGAACTGCTCATGTGCTACCGCTAATGCGTGAAAACCTCAGATGTGTTCTAGTTTATGACTAAGGTGATCCATTTGATAGCATTTGATAAAAAATAAATCTCCCAAAGAATGCCTTTGAAGCTAAAATACCCTTTTAAAAAGCAGCTAAACATTAGTTTCCAAATTTTAACAGGAATAAGTCATCGCTAGCTAACTTTGTTCAGCATACTGTGCCCTTTCCTTCTTGGTTTCTAAGGATATAAGCTTTAGAATGGCAAAATCTGCTCATTTATTCATGTGAGAGTAGCAACAGCCAGGTAAGTATATGGCTGTTTTCTGATTTCTTTCTTCCTCTCACTGATGTTTGTCTGTGCTGTCACTGCTCTATCAATCAGTCATGTTCATTATGCTCCCATGTAGGTTTGGGGGTTCCAGGTCTAGCAGTTTTTGCATTTTGCTTTTTTGCAGTTTAACACTGAGCAGCATATCACAAAGCCAGGTCAGAGAGTTCTGCTGATGTAGGTTGTTACCATTCTTTCAGTCTCTCTAGGATAAAGAAAACACTGAATTCTGTGCAAAACCAGTGTATTGTAGTACCTAGTGCAGGTCTGAACGAATCACCTATAGTAGAACAGTCCCTTGGAAACTTTATAAACCCTGTTCGCCAATTAATAAATGTTTTGGTTTTTTTTTTGTTGCTGATATGTAAACAAATGTATGGTGAAAAGCTTCAATGGGATCTCTTTAGACATGTTAGTCCATTAGTTCTGCTCAACCTTCAGTCCCTGGCCCATTATTAAATGCTACATTTATTTTTGTATAAATTATAATCTTTATATCCCTTAGTTTTTATGAGTTGATAATTTTATTTTGTATATTTCAAATATAGTTAATTATATTTTAAGTCCTGTGTTGTTACACTAAAAATCTTCCAGTGTTCAGCTTCAGAAGAAAATAACAAGAGGTCTATTGTAACAATTTGCAGAGCCACTCTCTTAGACTGTGCCCAACAATCATTAGATGTACTCTAGATCTTAGCGATCCTTTATTTATTTTGTATACCAATGTAATCAGAAAAAGTTGCTGAATTTTGTATGTGCATGGTTTTTGCTCACCTTTTTAAAGTGGTGGAATACCAGTCTCAAGTATTGCATTATTTTGTTTAAAATATTCTCATTTCTGTATGCTTACATCTAAAACATTGTTGTCCAGCTAACATTTTATATATAAAGCATTGTCAGTACATGCACATCAATGGGCTTGTTTAAAGGGCATAATGAACAGTAAGATCTTGAGCAGTTCATCAAAAAAGAAAAACTGTGAAACTTGAAATCCACATAGGATGCTTCACAAGGGTGAAGTAAGCTTTTTTGTTGCACAGGAGAGGCAAATTTAAGGATTACTGTAAAATTAAGTTCTGTCTAATGTTCTTTTTTGAGTACTTTTTTTAAATTATAAAACATACAAAGGTAAAAAAAAGAAAACTGTTGCCAAGTATGTTCTGTGTATGTTCTGTGAAAGTACCTACAGCACAGTTGCCTTTTGTTTCATTTATACATGTAAAATTATTGTATAATACAACACTGTTTTGTCCCAACACAATTGTATTTGCCAAGCTTTGTGCATTGAAATATTTTTATTTATTTGTTTTTGGGCAGTATTAATATATCATAAACATATGGCTACTGTTTTATATATTCTAGTTCATCAAATCCATGTATGCTGTAAATGTGCTAGTCTTTAGGATGAAAACCAATAAAGAACTGACAAGAATAACAAATGGTGGCTTCCTTTTAATGCGTTTGTGGTAAATTAAACTAAACACTTTCAGGTTCCTTGACTATCATAGAATAATAGAGTGGTTTGGGTTGG